TATTAAATATAGATTCTTTTCTCATAATATATACTGATTATAGGTTCTCTCCTTCTACTCCTCCCAGTTCCTATCCACCTCACTTTCCCCTGGATCCCCTCATTTTCTGTCTCTCATTAGAAAAGAACAGGAGGTAACACCCAAATATGACAGAATAAAATATAATAAGATGAAGCAGTACTTATCATATGAAAGTTGGACACAGCAACCCAACAGGAGGAAAAGAGTCCCAAGAGCTGGTATAAGAGTCAGACCCACTTGTTCTCAGTCAGGAGTCACATAAAAATATTAAGCTAATACTATAATATATACACAAAGAAACTGGTAAAGACCCATGTAGCCTTTATGCTTGCTACTTCAGTCTCTGTGAGGTTAGATGCACCTTGCTTGGTTGATTGAGAGGGCCATGTGCTCCTAGTGTCCTCCATCTTTTCTGCCTCTTCTGTGAGATTCCCTGAGCTCTGAAGGGAGGAATTTGTAGGAAATCTCTCTATATAATAACTGGCTGTGGGTCTCTGCATCTGTTCTCATCTAGTGCTAGAGGAAGCCTCTTTAATGACTGGATAAGGCGCTGCTCTATGAAGTATAATAGAATATCATTACAAGTTATTTTATCGATTATTTTTTTAACCAGTAGTGTTTGACTTTACCCTAGGTATTTAGTCTTTGGTTCTTTTATAGCTAAGAAGTGTCGAGTGTGGTTTCCTTTTTGTGGAGTGAGCCTTAAGTCAGATCAGGCATTGGTTGGCTAATCCTACAAGTTCAGTGCCATCATTGCCCTAGGATGACAGATTGTAGGTCAAAGGTTTTGTGGCTGAGTTGGTGTCCATGTTTCTCTTTTAGTAGTTTGCAGAGTATCTTTTTGTACCAAAGAGACTAAAACAAGGGGTAAAGGCTCCATGTAGGCACTAGCTTGATTTTCCCAAGTTCAATGACTTCTGTGAGTGTTGTCCTCAGCAATGGGGCCTCACTATCAGTTTGTTGAGAGTAACCCTTCGCCTTGGCAACAGTCTGGATTGTTTGGGGATTTCCATGGGACCACCTGCCAACAATTAATTGAATGCAACCCAGTCCCACCGCTGGAAGTCCTTCCTGGCTACCAGAGATGGCACTTGAGTCTCCATATACCCCAGTACTAGGAATCCTCATTAAAATCACCTTCATAAGTTACAGGAAGTTTCCATTGCAAAAGGTGTCCACACTAGTCCCCAAGTGCCCCAAATTCCAACTGTCTACCTCCACCCTAACTCCCCTTCCCAACCTGTGAGCTCCTATCTCCTTCTGCACCCAGTCTGCCTGTAAAATCTGTTCTATTTCCTTCTATCAGGGAGATCCATGTGTTCTCTCACACTCCTCCTTTTTACCTATCCTCTTTGGAGCTATAAATTATAGCTTGATTATCATTTACTTCGTGGTTAATATCTACTTATAGTGAATACATACCATATTTGTCTTTCTGGGTCTGGGTTACCTCATTCAGATTGATTTTTTTTTTCTAGTTCCATCCATTTGCCTGCAAATTTCATTATGTAATTTCTTCTTAACAGCTGAGTGATACACCATTGCGAAAATGTATCACATTTTCTTTATCCATTCTTTAGTTGAGAGACATCTAGGTTTTCAGTTTCTAGTTATTACTAATAAAGCCAACATGAAAATAGTCAAGCAAGTGTCCTTGTGGTGTGGTGGAACATCCTTTGGGTATATGCCAAGGAGTGGTATAGCTGGGTATTGAGGTAAATCGATTCCCAATTTTCTGAGAAACTGCCATACTGATTTTCAAAGTGGCTGTACAAGTATGCAATCCCACCAGCAATGGACGAATGTTCTCCGCACTCCACATCCTTACCAGCATGAACTGTCACATGCATTATTGTTCTTAGCCATTCTGACAGGTATAAGATAGCATCTCAAAGTTGTTTTGATTTGTAGCCTAATGGCTAAGGATGTTAAACATTGTTTCTCAGCCATTTGACTTCTATTGAGAATTCTCTCTTTATATCTGTACCACATTATTAATTGGATTATTTGTCTTCTTGGCATCTAGGTTCTTGAGTTTTTTATGTATTTTAGATATTAGCCCTTTTTTGGATATGGAATTGTTTGAAAAAAATCTTTTCCCATTCTGTAGGCTGCCTTACAGAAGCTTTTCAGTTTCACGAGATCCCATTTATTAGTTTTGATCTTAGTGCCTGAACTGTTGGTGTTCTGTTGATAAGGTTGTCTCCTGTACTAATGTGTTCAAGTTTATTCCCCATTTTCTCTTCTGTCAGGTTCAGTGTGTCTAGTTTCATAGTGAGGTCTTTGATTCACTTAGACTTGAGTTTTGTGCAGGGTGATAGATATGGATCTATTTGTGGTCTTTTACGTGCAAACATCCAGTTAGACCAGCACTATCCGTTGAAGATTGTTGCTTGCTTGCTTTTCTTTCCCTCCCTCCCTCCCTTCCTTCCTCCCTTTCTTCCTTCCTTCTTTCATTCTTTCTTTCTTTCTTTTCCATGTTTATTTCTGGCTTCTTTATAAAAATTCAGGTTTCCATCAGTGTGAGTTTATGTCTGGATCTTCAAATCAATTCCATTGATCAATGTGTCTGTTTTTATTACAGTAGCTCTGTTGTACACCATCGGGGATGATGATACCTTCGGAAGTTCTTTTATTATGCAGGATTGTTTTAGCTATCCTGGGTATCTTGTTTCTTTATGTGAAGTTAGAATTGTCCTTTCAAGGTCTGTAAAGAATTGTTTTGTAATTTTTATGGAGATTCCATTAAATCTCTAGGTTACTTTTGATAGAATGGCCATTTTTACTATGTTAACCCTTCTGCTCCATGAGCTGAGGAGATCTTTTCATCTGATATCTTCGATTTCTTTCTCAAAGACTTGAAGTTCTTGTCATACAGGTCTTCACTTGCTTGGTTAGAGTTACCCCAAGATACTATTATTTGAGGCTATTGTGAAAGGTGTTGTTTCCCTGATTTCTTTCTAAGTCCACTTGTCATTTGTACATAGGAGAGCTACTGACCTTTTTGAAGTTAATCTTGTATCCAGATACTTTTCTGAAAGTGTTATCATCTGTAGGAGTCCCCTACTAGAATTTTTATGATACCATCAGCAAAAAAATAAATAAATAATAAAAATAAATGATACTTTGACCTCTTCCTTTCTAATTTGTGTACCCTTGATCTCCTTAAGTTGTCTTATTGTTCTAGCCAAAACATCAAGTACTATATTGAATATACATATGGAGAGAGTGGGCAATCTTTTCCTGTTCCTGATTTTATTAGAATTCCTTTAACTTAGTCTCCATTAAATTTGATGTTGGCTGTAGGCTTGCTGTAAACTGCGTTATTATGTTTATGTCTCTTGTATCCCTGATCTCTCCAGGACTTGTATCATGAAGGGGTGTTGAATTTTGTCAAAGACCTTTGCTGTACCTAATGAGATGCTCATGTGGCTTTTTTTTTTTTCTTTTAGTTTATTTATATGGTGAATTTCATTTACTGATTTTTGTATGTTGAACCATCCCTGTATCTCTGGGATGAAGCCTACTTGATCATAGTGGATGGTCTTTTTGATGTGTTCTTGGATTCAGTTTGCAGATATTTTATTGAGTACTTTTGCATCTGTTCATGAGAGAAGTTGGTCCATGATTTTGTTTATCTTGTTGAATTTCTCAACCAACTCTTTGTTTCAGTGATTCTTTGTATTGTTCTCTTTGTTTCTTTCTTTCTTTCTTTCTTTCTTTTTTTTTTTTTTTCAGGCTTCAGTTTGATTATTTCTTGCAGTCTTCTCTTGGGTGTGCTTACTTCTTTCTGTTCATGAGGTTTCAAGTTTAAGTTGCTAATATGACGACATTCCATTTTTTTAATTTTTTCTTTTTTTAATTAATTACAGTTTATTCACTTTGTATCCGAGCTGTAGCCCCCTCCCTCATCCCCTCCCATCCCACCCTCCCTCCCTCTTCACCACCAATGCCCCTCCCGTAGGCAACTAATAGAGGAGGTCCTCCTCCCCTTCTATCAGATCATAATCTATCAGGTCTCATCAGGAGTGGCTGTATTATCTTCCTCTGTGGCTTGGAAAGGCTGCACTCCCCCCTTAGGGGGAGGTAATCAAAGAGCAGGCCACTGAGTTCATGTCAGAGACAGTTCCTGTTCCCATTACTAGGTAACCCACTTGGACACTGAGCTGCCATGGGCTACGTCTGTGCAGGAGTTCTAGGTTATCCACATTCATGGTCCTTGTTTGGAGTATCAGTCTCAGATAAGATCCCTGTGCCCAGATTCATTCCAATTTTTTTATGTAAGCACTTAGATCTATGAACTTTTTTCTTAGTTTCTCTTTCATTGTGTTTGGGTGTGTTATATATTTATTTTCATTGAATTCTAGAAACTTTAATCTCTTTATTTTTGTCTTGACTGAATATTCATTAGAAAGTTTTCTGTTTCTTTTGTTAGTGATATCCAGCTTTAATCTGTGGTTGTCTGATAGGATGCAGGCAATTATTTCAGTTTTCTTATATCTATTAAGAATTGTTTTGTGATGGGGGAGTTAGTAAGACCTGGAGTGGACAGGAGCTCCACAAGGAGAACAACAGAACCAAATATCTGGCCACAGGGATCTTTTCTGAGATGGATACTCCATCCAAGGACCATTCATGGTTATTACCCAGAACCCCTGCTCAGATGTAGCCCATGGCAGCTCAGTATCCAAGTAGGTACCCTAGTAAGGGAAACAGGGACTGTCTCTGACATGAACTCAGTGGCTGGCTCTTAGACAACCCCCCCCCCCCCGAGGGAGGAGCAGCATTGCTAGGCCACAGAAGAAGACAATGAACCAGTGCTGATCAGACCTGATAAGCTAGGGTCAGATGGAAGGGGATGAGAACCGCCCCTATCAGTGGACTTAGAGAGGGGCATGGGAGGAGATGAGGGAGTGAGGGTGGGACTGGGAGGGAATGAGGGAGAGACTACAGCTGAGCTACAAAGCCAATAAAATGTAATTAATGTAAAAAATAAAAATTTAATTTAAAAAAATTGCTTTGAGTCTGAGTATATGGTCAATTTTGAAGAAAGTTCCATGAGGTGCAGAGAAGAAGGTATATTCTTTTGTGTTTGAGTGAAATGTTCTGTGTATGTCTGCTAAGTCCATTTGACTTACAACATCTATTAGCTCCAGCATCTCTCTATTTAGTTTTGTTGAGATGACCTGTCCATTGGTGAGAGTGGAATACTGAAGTCTCGTACTATCAGTGTGTAAGGGTCAGTATGTGATTTAAGCTGTAGGAGTGTTTCTTTTACAAAAGTCGATACCATTATTTTAGGGGTATAGATGTTAAGAATAAGATGTATGACGCTGTGCATGGTGGCACACACCTTTAATCCCAAAACTTAGGAGGCAGAAGCAGGAAGATCTCTGCCTTCGAGGCTAGCCTAGACTTCAGAGGGCATTCCCAGGACAGCCAGGGTTATACAGAGAAACTCTTGTCTCAAAAAAAAAGTATTCTTGGTGGATTTTTTTTTCTTTGATGAGTATGTAGTGTGCTTCCCTATTTCTTGTGATTAGTTTTGGTTTGAAGTCTATTTTGTTACATATTAAATAAAATGAATACACCAGCTTGCTTCTTAAGTCCATTTGCTTGGAATATAATTTTCCAACTCTTTACCCTGAGGTAATATCTATCCTTGATATTGAGGTGTGTTTCTTTTTCTTGGGTGCAGCAGCAGAATGGATTCTGTGTTCACTTCCATTCTGTTACTCTGCATCTTTTTATTGGGAAATGTTGAACACTATCAGTGACCAATGATTGTTGATGCCTGTTATTTTCTTGGTGTTGGTAGTGTTGAGGGTGTGTGTGTGTGTTCTCCTTCTTTTGATTTTGCTGGTTTTAGATTATTTATTTCCTGTTTTTTCATGGTCTTAGGTTGACATTTTTCTTCTAGCACCTTCTATAGAACTGGATTTGTAGATACATATTGTTTAAATTTAACTTTATCATGAAATATCTTATTTCTCCATCTATGGTGATTGAAAGTTTTGCTGGGTATAGTAGCCTGGGATCACATTTGTGATCTTTTAAGAGTCTGGAGCACCTCTGTCCAAGTCCTGGTTTTTAAAGTCTCCATTAAAAAGTCAGGTCTAGGGTGCTGGAGAGATGGCTCAGTGGTTAAAAGCACTGTCTGTTCTTCCAAAGGTCATGAGTTCAATTCCCAGCAACCACATGGTAGCTTTCAACCATCTATAATGTGAACTTTCCTCTTGTGGCAGGTGAAAGTGCAGATAGAACACTCATATACATAAAATAAATAAATAAGAAAGAAAGAAAGAAAGAAAGAAAGAAAGAAAGAAAGAAAGAAAGAAAGAAAGAAAGAAAGAAAGAGAAAAGTCCGGTCTAATTCTGATAGGTCTGCCTTTATGTGTAACTTGGTCTTTTTCCCTTATGGCTTTTCATATTTTTTCTTTGTTTGATTTGTGTGTTTAGTGTTTTGATTATTATGTAGCATGGGGACTTTTTTTTTCTGGTCCAATCTATTTGGTGTTTTTTATGCTTCTTGTACCTTGATAAGCATCTTCTTTAGGTTAAGAAAAAAAATTTTTTTCCGTTATTTGTTGAAAACTTTCTCTGGTCCTTTGAGCTGAGTTTCTTTTCCTTCCTCTATACTTGTTTTTTCTTAGGTTTGGTCTTTTCATAGTGTCACAGATTTTTTGTTTTGTGACAGAAGTCTTCTAGAGTTAACTCTTTTTTTTTTACTGATATATCCATTTCTTCTGTCATATCTTCAATGCCTGAGTATCTGTCTTCCTTTTTTGTATTCTATTGGTGAAGGTCGTCTCTGTAATTCTTGTTCGATTTCCTAAATTTTTTTCTCTCCAGAATTCAGTTCGTTTGGGTTTTCAGGTTGATCCTATTTCCAATTTCTAATCTTGAACAGTTTTTTTTCATTTCCTCCACTATTTATGTTTTGCTGGATTTCTTTAAGGGATTTATTTATTTCCCTTTGAAGGACCTCTATTACACTTATTAAGGCTGTTTTAAAGGTTTTGTGTTTGGGTGTGTGTGTGTTTCAGCTATGTTGGAATATTCAGAGCCTGCTGTGGTAGGATAGTGGGGCTCCGTGGAAACATATTGCCCTGGTTGTTACTGATTGTGTTCTTATGCTGACATGTAGGCATCTGGGTTTGGGATGATTATAGGTCTAAGTGTTGGTATCTGGATTTGTCTTTGTTGGTTGGGTGTTTTGTTCCTTGGTTTCTGTTTGTTTGTTTGTTTTTGTTTTTTTCTGGATTTTCAGAGAATGTGATGGCTGTGTGTTTGCCTGTTTTCCTGGCCTGCTCAGCTGGTATGTTCACAGGGAATTCCTGCTGTGTTGGAGGCTGGGATACTGGGATGAGTTGGGGAAGGAAGGTTGGAGGAGGTCTGTGTGATCTGTTTTGGATGGGGTCAGAGAAGAAAGAGAGACCACAACATGCTTCCTGCTTCGGAGCTTGGGGTAAGACTAGGGATTGGATCTTAGGAGCAGTTGGAAAGGTATGGGTCCGCCTTCAGCTTACTTGTTGCCCTGGGAGGAGCAGCCCTTGGGTTAGCAGGAGGTGCCTGCTTCAGTTGGAATCTGGGACAAAGCAACAAGTGGAAGGCAAAGGTTAGAGGGGGGAGATCTTTGGGATTCACAGAGCAGAAGGGGTACGGAAGGCTGCCATGGGTGTTCTGCTTTAGAGCTAGGGTTGAGACTGGGAGATTAGGTCTGGGGGAACAAGAGCAAGACACTTTTTTTAACCTCAGGCAGACAAATTGTGTCATTCCAAAACAGGTACTAACTGAACGCTTGGATGCCCTTCTTCTGGAAAAAGCAGAGACTGAACAACAGTGTCTATGTCTGAAAAAGGAAAATATTAAAGTGAAGCAAGACGTTGAGGTAAGAACATTTAATATTCTTTTATTTGGTAACTCACATAAAATAGTAATGAATTTTTTAGCTGAATGGGATCTTAAGCATCTAATCCAGCCAAGTATGGAGACACATGCCAGCTCTTGGGAGGCTTAACTATTCCTAAGCCAAAATCAAGGCCAGCCTGGGATACTTAACAAGGCACTGTCTCTAATAAAAGGAGCCAGCCAGATGGCCCAGTAGAAAGGGGTGTTTGCCTTCAAGCTTGGTGATCTGTCCCCAAATCTACATGGTAGAAGGAGAAAACTGACTCCTAAAGTTGTCTATAACCTCCACACGTGTCCGTGGTATGTGCACACTCACATCATTTACACACACACACACTAATTTAGCGTTTTAAAGGGTATCTATTCCAATCTTACTATCTTATCACAAACAAAAGACTCAGCTCTGGAATCACAGAGCCATAATTCCAGCTTCCCAGGAGGCTAAAGGATTGAGGTTCATAAGTTCAGGACAAGTCTAGGATACAGAACAAGTTCAAGGCCAGCTTGAGCAGACACTGTCAAAAAGTGAAAAGAAGAATTGGGATATAGCCCAGTAGTAGAGTATTTGCCCATAGGTAGAAGCCCTCGATTCAATTCCTACTAAATGCATGTGGTTATGTACAGATAGACTAGCATTTTATTTTTTGCATAGATAATCTTTCTTATCGCAATGCCATTCTTTAATAAAGGTCTTAAGGTTTTGCGTTTTACAACTCTAAATACTGTTATCTGTTCAGTTTTAGGACATTAGTAGTATATTGTTACTTTCTTGTCTGTAAAGTTTTAGCTTATTTTCTCTAAAATGTCTCTTATTAATCTGTTCAGGAACTACAAATTGAAGCCTTTTAGGTTACATAACTTAATACTTGTAAAAAGATAGTTAAATACAGAAGTTTCCCAGTTGTTAGTTACTCTAAGTAGTAGAATTTATATTGATGATAACAGTTCTATTTAACTGAGGCAAACCCTAAACAAAATTTTTGAAATCTCAGTATCATATTTCTCTAGGTATACTTTGTTCATCTTTTTTTTCCATCTAATTAACCCTTTACTGAAGATAGAGGTTTCTTTCATCTTCAGTGATATATTTGTGCTTATCTTTATTTTAATAGGATTCTGTAACTAAACTGGAAGATATGAACAAAGAGTTTGAACAATCACATAGAAACTATGTAAAAGAAATTGAAAGCTTTAAAAATGAATTGATTGCAGTGCACTCAGAGCATAGTAAAGAAAAAGCCATCTTGCAAAAAGAACTGGAAGATGCAGTAAATAAGCAGTTCGAGCTGTTAGAACAGCTTAAATCTCAGAGTGATGCTGAAGACACTGTTAAAAAACTACAAGAAGAGATTCAGAACATTACGGCAGTATTTGAGGAACAAATTTTATGTCTAAAAAAGCAGTTAGAAGCTACCAACAATGAAAAAAATCAAGAGATTATTCATCTCCAAAAAGTCATTGAGGACAACACTGAACACTACCAAAAAGATATTAATACTTTTCAAGAAGAGATTTTGCAGCTGAGAGCTACACACAAAGATGAAGTTAATGAGCTGATGTCTCAAATGGAAACATCAGCTAAAGAACATGAGGCAGAAATAAACAAGCTAAAAGAGAATAGGTTGCTACAGTGTGGGGCAAATGAGAACATTCAGGGGAAATACCAATGTGAATCAGAAAACTTAAGTGAAGGCATCTCAGATACAAACCAGGAGAGTCTAAATTGCTCTGTGCCCTTACCGGAAGATCCTGTTGCAGAACAAACAGTGTATGATAAAGTCAGGCAGTTGGAGGATTCCTTAAAAGAACTGGAATCTCAACACAGTATCTTAAAAGATGAGGTGACTTACATGAATAATCTCAAGTTAAAACTTGAGATGGATGCACAACATATAAAGGACGAGTTTTTCCATGAGCGAGAAGACTTGGAGTTTAAAATTAATGAACTGTTACTAGCTAAAGAAGAACAGGGCTATGTAGTAGAAAAATTAAAATATGAGCGAGAAGATTTAAATAGACAGCTTTGCTGTACTGTGGAACAACACAACAAAGAAATACAGCATCTTCAGGAACACCATCAGAAAGAAATCTCTGAACTAAGTGAGACATTTATGTCAGGTTCAGAAAAAGAAAAGTTAGCATTAATGTTTGAAATACAGGGTCTTAAAGAACAGTGTGAAAGTCTACAACATGAAAAGCAAGAAGCGGTCCTAAATTATGAGAGTTTACGAGAGATGATGGAAATTTTACAAACAGAACTCGGAGAATCCGCTGGAAAAATAAGTCAAGAGTTTGAAACAATGAAGCAACAACAAGCATCTGACGTTCATGAGCTTCAACAGAAGCTGAGAACTGCTTTTAATGAAAAAGATGCTCTTCTTGAAACTGTGAATCGCCTCCAAGGAGAAAATGAAAAGTTACTGTCTCAACAAGAATTAGTACCAGAACTTGAAAGTACCCTAAAGAACCTTCAGGCAGACAATAGCATGTACTTAGCCAATCTTGGTCAAAAAGATATCATGTTACAAGAATTAGAAGCAAAGATAAGTTCTCTTGCTGAAGAAAAAGATGATTTTATAAATAAAATAAAAACTTCCCATGAAGAGATAGATCATCTCCATCAGAAATGGGAAAGGGAACAGAGATTGACTGTAGAACTCAGGGATGCAGCAGAGCAAACTGCCCAGCACAACAGTGAACTGAGAAAAAGAGTAACTGAATTAACAGGGAAACTAGATGAAATATTAAGAGAAAAGAGTCAAAATGATCAAAACATTATGGTTCAAATGAAAACGATGACTGAAGACCAAGAAGAATTGTCATCTAAAATCAAGTCTCTTTATGAGGAAAATAATAGACTACACTCCGAAAAGGTCCAACTGAGTAGGGATTTGGAAGCTCTTCAATCTCAAAAAGATTTTGCCCTAAAAGAACATGTTACTGATTTGGAAAAGAAACTCCAGTTAATAGTTGAAGAGCGAGATGATTTAAATAAACTGCTTGAAAATGAGCAAGTTCAGAAGTCATTTGTCAAAACTCAGTTGTGTGAGTATCTTAAACAAGTGAGGCCAAGCATTTTAGAAGAAAATGAAGAGGATATTGTAAAAGTTGTACAAGCTGTAGGTGAATTTTTAGCAAAAATAAAGGAAGAAAAACGAGACTTGGTATTTGAATGTGATGAGAGAGTATTAGAATTAGAAAAAAAGATTAAGTGCCTTCAAGAGGAGATGGTAGTTCAGTGTGAAGAACTCAGGGCTTCACAGAGAAACTCTGAGCAAGAGAAAATTCTCCTAAAGAAAGAATTAGAAGAAGCCATATCAACAAAAGAGGCCCTGAAACTTGATGTTCTAGAAATGAAGAATGCTAATGAAAAAAAAAGCCTTGAAAATCAGACTCTTTCAACTCAGGTTGAAGAAGTATCTCAGACATTAAACAGCAAAAATGAAATCCATGATAAAAATGTTGTTGTAATGGACCATGACAAATTAAGGCTATTGCTTGAAGAAAGAGAATCTGAACTACAAGATGTGAGAGCAGAACTGATACTGTTAAAGGTACCATTATTTTGAATTTGATTGATTCAAATAAATCCTTAGCTCTGGTCACAGGTTATAGAAAATACATGCATTAACATTTTTACTGTCTGAAATCAGAAGTAAGGTTTTAGCATTTAGGCTCAAGCAACAAATTTCTGGCAAATGAATTAAGCACTTTTCATGTGGTGTGACTAGTCATTAACAAAACTAATCAAGAAAAACTCAGAACTGTCCTCAGTACAAAGACAGCGCTTTAAATTTTAAAAATTTTTAAAGAATACTGTTAATCAAAAAAATGAGCTATAGTGACATTCTGTTTTAGTTAACATTTTAAAATTGTCTTAGAAATTGTGTTGTGAAGTTATGATAAGCAATGACCATGTCATCATTTCTTTATTATGTATATATTTGGAGTATGTCAGATTTTTCATCTTGCCCTTTGGTACTATTTTAGTAAAGGCCATATACATAATAAATTTGGTATTGCTTGTTTTATCAATAGAAAATAAAAATAAGCAAATTACTATTTATGTGGTTTTTCTTGGTAAACATTTTCTCATAATTAAAATGTTGACAATTTGAATGAAATGAATTCTGGTTTAGGGATTCTTTTGCTTTTTTCTCTATAAAATCTAGGATTCCTTAGAGAAATCGCCTTCTGTAAAAAATGATCAACTCTCATTGGTAAAAGAGCTGGAAGAAAAAATAGGTAATTATGGTTTTATATGTGTTGTCACCATTAATTAGTCAAATATCTTATTAGTGTTTAAGATAGATTGAGAAATATAGTCTCAATTAATGAGTTATTAAATACTCAGTAATTGGGTGCCTTTTCCTCATTCCCCAATTATCCTTCTGCCATCTCTTTGCCTTCTTATTCAAATGCCACTTCTATCATTTAACCCAAATAAAAATGCTGCTGTAACTCTATTTATAATTGATTCTGTGAATTAACTTTGGATTTTTTTATCCACTCAGACATTTTGAGTACTCAGCTGTTCTATATAATGGCAAAAGCAGGCCAAACAATGTATAGACAGTATGCTCATTAACAGAATTAAAGAACTTGTTAACAGGAAGAGGTTAAGTTCAGTAGTTAGGTATGGACAGGAGATGCTCATGAAGAAAGATAGTTGCCTGAAAAATATCACACAAGAATAAAAAACATTGTAGCAAGAAGGAACAGCAGGTGGTTGTCTCTTGATTTTTTTTTTTTAAATAACATCAAGGAGACCATAAAGTTCCCAAGGAGTAGCTGATTATAAACGCACTAGTGCAATGCACAGAAGAGTTAAACCTTCATATGTGTCCATCGGTTCTTTTTACTGACTTTATGGACTAGTTCTTTTTTGTTGGTGGTTTTGTTTTGTTGTTTTTATTTGGCTGTCTTAGACCCCCTTTGTAGACCAGGCTGGCCCTGAACTCAAACAGATCTGCCTACCTCTACCTCCCTGAGTGCTGGGATTACAGGTGTGCACCACCGTGCCTGGCTTAGGGATGAACCCTTTTGTTCCTGTTGAAATATGAAGAAATAAAGACTTAGCAAGTGTCATATGTTGTGTCCATGATTCCTTAGTTTATTACCCAGTTAACTTGGGGAAAGGAGAATGGAAAAGAGTTCAGAATGACTCCCAGGTTTCTGTTGAAAATGGTTGAAGTGAAATAGTATGCTCAAGTTTAGACTAATATATCTAGCATGCATAGGATGCTATATATCTCTGAAACTGAGATAATTAGCATAAATGTAGAAAAATGAATAGTCAAATTATGGGATTAAAAAGCCAAAGGTTAGGCTGGAGAGATGGCTCAGAGCACTGGCTGTTCTTCCAAAGGTCCTGAGTTCAATTCCCAGCAGTCACATGGTAGCTCACAACCATCTATAATGAGATCTGTTGCCCTCCTCTGGCATGCAGGTGTACATGCAGACAGAACACTGTATACATAATAGTTAAATAAATCTTTAAAAAAAAAAAAAAGCCAAAGGTTGAGATCTTCAAATCAAAAAAAAAAAAAAAAACAAAAAAAAACAAAGAACAAAAAAACAAAAAAGATAAGGACCAAAGACAGTTCTGTCTTTAAATGACAGAAGCAACAAAGGGGATTGAGAAGAAGCAGCTAGAAGGTAGGGAATCATTGAACAAAAGTCCGAAAGTTATGTGCAGGTGACAGACATGGGAAAACCTTTAACTGATGCTGATGATGATAAGTGTGTGCTGAGAGGTATCCATTTTAAGTTAAGCAACACAGAGGACAATTTCCTGCTGTGCTGGGGCCAAGGCTTGGCTGCAGTGGCCTTCTAGAAAAAGATGGGGAAGAGAAATTTGAGATGATATATGCAGACAACTCTTTGAAGAGTTTTGCTCTGTAAAAGGAGCACTGTGGGTTTGTTTGTTGTTGTTGTTTTTCTAAATGGGAAAACGTGTGTTTGTGATATTTCACCTCCTGTTATGGTCTCTGCCCTGCCCTTTTTAGATTCTACTATCTTTATTCCTGATATACTGATATGTTTCATTTTATTACTACTGTATCTGTATGATGTATATGGCTATACCTGCTATACTATGTATGGAGGTCAGAGGTCAACTTTCAGGAGTCTTTCCTTTCATTGTGAAATGAAAGGATACCAGGGATCAAACCCAGGTCCTCAGGCTTGCATAGCAAGCATTTTTACCTGTGAAACCATTACATCAACCTCGATAATATATTCTTGCTGCATGTTTATAAACTGTTGAGAAAAACAAATCCACTGGAAAGGGGGAACTACTATTCTTAGGCTTGAACAGAAGCAGAGATGTGTTATGCATATGAAACATGAAAGAGTGACAGTGACCTTTGCTACATAGTTCACCATGCATATGCGCACCCAGACTAATAGATATGAATAGAACTCTTAACTGTAGTTAAGAAAAGTTAACAAAAGTAAAGTCCTAAACTCAAGTTTAACTAGAAAAGGTGGTCAAATAGGTGAAGAAAGAGATGTTTACACCTGTGGTCTAGAGATATACTGTGAATGGTTACTTATATGTGCCTTATATCTTTCCTACTTGTCTTGATTTACAAACCATCCCTAAAATCTTCTCATATTCAGCATTAAGAGTCTTAAGAACATGGTTGAGCAAATATCCTTGTTACATACTTGAGCATATTTTGGACATATACCTAGGAATGGCATAGCTGAATCTTAAGGTAGCACTATTCCAAATTTTCTGAGAAAGCACCAGACTTATTTCCACAGAGGTTGTACAAGTTTACATTCCCTCGAGCAATGGAAGAGGGTTCCTCTTTCTCCACATCCTTCCAGCATGTGTTGTCACTTGAGTTTATGATCTTAGCCATTCTGGTGGGTGTAAGGTGTGGTCTAGGGGAAAGTCATAGGAAGAGAAGAGGGAGGGAGGGCAGGATTGGGAGGGGGCAAGAGAGGGGCTACAGCTGGATACAAAGTGAATAAACTATGAATAAATAAAGAAATAACCTTTTTTTAAAAAGTCTTAAGAACTCCAGTTCATAGGTATTTAAGAAATGACTATGTAAAAATAAATTATTCGTAGAGACTTGAAGTTTTACATAATTTATCCCACTTGGCTAATGAATAGTTAAGGTTTCTGTTTACAAAAATCAATAAAGTTCTGACCACTTGACATTAATTTCAAGCTGCAAATTTTGTGTTCAAGAATAAAACTATCTCTGGGGTTAAGACAAGTAATTTCACTATTTTTCCTTTTGACTTTATATATAGTCTTTTCATTTTCTGTTTTAGAAAGTCTGGAAAAAGAATCCAAAGACAAGGATGAGAAAATAAGTAAGATAAAACTAGTTGCTGTGAAAGCGAAGAAAGAACTAGATTCTAATAGGAAAGAGGTAAGCCAACATAAAGGCACAAGATTTTAGAATCCATATATTGTAGAAAATCAAGTGTTTCTGTGTATGAAAAACACTTGCTGTGTTTACAACAGGCCCAGACACTAAGGGAAGAACTTGAATCTGTACGATCAGAAAAGGACCGTTTGTCTGCTTCTATGAGGGAGTTCATCCAAGGAGCAGAAAACTATAAGGTAAAACAGTTACTTTAATACCAGGCCTTATTCATAACTAATAGGTATGCCAGAATTATAAAAAAAAAAAAAAAAAAAGCTGGTACATAAAATACATTGTTTTGGCTAGTGAATTTAAATTGCTCTGTTTTTGTTTTTTTTATAGTACACATTGAAGGTTAGTTTTTGGTTGTATCTGTTTTTGTTTGTTTGTTTTTAGACAGGCTTTCACTGTGTAGCCCTGGCTGGCCTAGAAATAGAAATCCACCTGGCTCCCAAGTGCTGGAATGTAAGGCATGTGCCACCATGCCTGGTAAAGTTAGCCTTTAAATAGTGCTTTTAAAATATTGTTTCTTAAAAGTAAAAATCTGTTTGGGGATTTCCTCATAGAAAATGTAAGAAAAATATAGCGGACGTGATTTAGTATGCTACGGCAAAGTAAATATACCTGAGACTTCAGATAGATCTAGAGGGAAAGTAGAAATACAATTACTTGGAGGTAATACACCTGTTTACTTTAATAACACCAGACAATTTTTTTTCAAGTCTGACAAGATCACTAAATGCAAAGTAAATATTACATTTTTCATGTATTTATTCATTCAACAAGATTTATGTAGATGGGCTAAATTCCTGGTTGTGGACAGACTTTCCTAAATTCCTGTCCCCTTAGTCTTAAATTCTAGTAGCAGTAACAAGGAGACAAAAGGACAAGGTGGGATAGGAGCTCTACAAGGACCAAACATATCTGGGCACAGGGTCTTTTCTGAGACTGACACTCAACCAAGGACCATCTATGGATATAACCTAGAACTTCTGCTCGGATGTGGCCCGTGGTAGCTCAGTAACCAAGTAGTTTTCCAAAGTAAGGGGAACACGGACTATTTCTAACAGGATCTCAAGGGCAGGCTGTTTGACACACACACACACACACACACACACACACACACACACACACACCCTACACACACACACACACACACACACACACACACACACACACACACACACACACACCCCGGGGAGGAGCAGTCTGTTAGGCCACAGAGGAGGACTTTGCAGCCAGCCCTGAAGATACCTGATAAAACAGGGTCAGATGAAAGGGGAGGAGGTCCTCCCCTATCAGTGGACTTGGAAAGGGGCAGGGAGGAGACCAGGGAGGGAGTGTGGGGTTGGGGAGGGAATGAGGGAGCGGGATACAGCTGGGACACAGAGTTAACAAAATGTAACTAAAAAGAAAAAAATAATAAAAAAAGAAAAAAAAAAGGACAAGGTGGATTCTGTATAGAACAGTGAGTAGGGAAAAGATGATGAACAGTAGAATTCTAATATCAAACTCAGAGTAACAGAAGACATAGAGGCTCCAACACATATAACAGGCTGTCTTCTAAACACTTTCCTGTCTTGAATACATAGTTTTCAGAAGAACTAGTAGAACTATCTTGTCATCACCAGTTGACAAGTCTCTGAAGCACAGAGAGTCAAGGTCACAGCCTTAAATGTCTTAAGAGACTAGTAACACTGCAAAATTGGAATCTTACCAATTGTTCCCATTCTGTTTATTTGCCAACTAAGTTATAATATACCACACAAGTTTGCAAACAGAAATAAGGGAAGAAAGAATTAGAAAGATAGTTGAAGAAAATATAATCCACTCTATGTTACACTGTATACACCAAAATAAATTCTGTATGTAAGAAACATTTTTTAATATCTAAAATAAAATTCTCAGCTCTTTACTAATGGTACCAAATACTTTTGCTGAACTTTAAAGCAATTTTTGAAAAAAAAATTAAAGATTAAACTTATACCTGGTTTAATTCTGGGGAAAATTAGTAGATTATGGTATTATAAAATGTAAAAAAGCAAAATCCTAATGTAGCTCACCCATGAAAGAGGAATAAGCTCTTATTTAAATTTTAAATGTGTTTTTAGTGGATTTGTAAGATTGGATAAATTAAAGGTACTAATCTTTTGTCATATTGCCAAATGCTAGTTTTCACTTTTACATTTTCATATTGAGTATTTTAAGAGTTTCAAATGAATTCTTAATGTGTCAAGATGGCTTGATTGTATGTTCAGACCTAGTGAATGCCTCATAACTTAAAGTTAAATCTTGTCTTTTATTGAAGAATCTTTTGTTAGAATATGATAAGCAGTCAGAACAGCTGGATGTGGAAAAAGAACGTGCTAATAATTTTGAACATCATATAGAAGACCTTACCAAACAATTAAGAAATTCAGCTTGCCAGGTAATTTCAAGTTAGATAAATTTAGACAAGCAAATTAGAGTAAATACATCTTAATCTCATTTTCTTTTGCATAAAATGTTAAACTGGTCAGAAGTTATTTTTTATTTTTCTGTATTAGGAGAAGAATTTGACTAAGTAGCTAACAGTATCCTGTTTTACTTTTCTTACTATTGAGTGATGGGGTTTGTTATTGTTAATTTTAGTACCACACCATTACTGTACATGAGCTTGAAGACGTCAGCTAACCTCAGTCCATCAGGACTTTGGTTTGGGTTTTCTATTTTTGCTTTTTATTTTATGGAAGGTTTACAATCTTTCTGGCTTATAAGGTTTGGCAGGTCAATGTCACAGTGATTGGATTTTTTTTGTTGTTGTTTTCTTTGTTTTGTTTTTAACTTATTCTTGACTTAATAGTAATTCTGTCTGGTTGATTGTGAAATCACTTTTCATTCTGTGCTAATGTTCTCATTAAGCATTTTACCTTCTGTATATGTTTACTCTATGTTCACAGTAATGAGTCACTTGTTTTCTAGTGTGAGAAACTAAATTCAGACAATGAGGATCTCCTGGCTCGTATTGAGACACTGCAGTCTAATGCCAGGTTATTAGAAGCACAGATCTTAGAAGTTCAGAGAGCCAAAGGAGTAGTAGAAAAAGAACTAGAAGCTGAAAAACTTCAGAAAGAGCAGAAAATAAAGGTAAGAACAGCCCAGAGACTAGTTCCCATACCTACAGTGGTATTTTAATCACATACTGCTTGAATGAATGGTCTTACTGAGTCCATTTATGAGTACACCTTTGTTAATTCCTTAATATATGCCAACTCTACACTGGAGAATCTGTTCTAGTTTTATATACTAGGCATATAGTTTTTAAAGTTTTGAAACATAATCAAACATCTTATGATTTGTGTATGGTATGTATTTATACGTAACAAATGTCTTCCCTAATTTTGGCTGTATTGTGGGTTGCTTACTTTTAGGAACATGTCAGTACTGTAAATGAGCTCGAAGAACTCCAGCACCAGTTTCAAAAGGAAAAGAAGCAACTTCAGAAAACCATGCAAGAATTAGAACTTGTTAAAAAGGTACACAAATACTCTCCAGAGAGAGAACCATTGACAGAGTGCCTGCTTAGCATGCCTAAAGCCCTGTTTTTGATTCCTAGCACCTTAGAAACAAAGAAGTGTTCATAGAATAACATAGCTTATACTATTGCAATTCATACACATGAAAAATATTTTAAGTATTGCCTATAATATAAAATAATCCATTATAAATTGTTAGCCTCAGCAAATTGAAACTTGAACTTTATTTCTCTAAGTACTTGTCTGTTTAGAAGAACCTAGGTTCATGAGTTTATTTCATTTTCTATGTGTGATTGCTGTATTGTATGACACATGGATATTTACTATCAAAGCCTAAAACTTAATCCCTCTCTACTTTTTCAAAAAGTATTTCGTAGCAGGTGTTGAAATAGTTCATAAATAAGATCCGTAAGACTAGAACTACTAATTGTGACTAATTAAAGTTAGTCAAGTAAAATGGAGTTCAAAAAGTTGAATTTTAAACTGTTAGAGGACCCTTGATGAAAGTACAATTACAAACTGTTAAGCTTCTCATTTCCTCATTACATTATATTTATGCTACAGAAAAACATAATAAAACCTACTTATTCTTGTGGCATGATTATACTAGTTTAACAGATTAGCTGTCCTAGTAATATGTAAATCTTTTATAAACTATACAGGATGCCCAGCAGACCACATTGATGAATATGGAAATAGCAGATTATGAACGTTTGATGAAAGAATTAAATCAAAAATTAACAAATAAAAACAGTAAGATAGAGGATTTGGAACAAGAAATAAAAATTCAAAAACAGAAACAAGAAACCCTACAAGAAGAAATGAGTGAGTAAAACAATTCACTTTACTTTATAACTGCCTCATAACATGATAAAGAGAACAGCATGAGTCATTCACTCATACAATCCCCCCCTTCCTATCTCCCCTTCTTTCTTTCTTTCTTTCTTTTTTATAGACAAGAGTCTCCATGTATAGTCCTGGCTGGCCCAGAACTAAATTGCAGATATCTGCCTGCCTTTGGCTCCTAAGTGTTGGTTAAAGGTGTGTGCTACCATGCCCAGCCATTCATACAAGTCTTTAATCACCAGCAGATGTGTTGAGGACCAAAGGGTCAAACCACTTGCGATTAAGAGGTTAATGGTCCACAGAGTGTTTGGTGCAAGGTACCTGTCATATTTGTTCACGTTTTATTGGTTGTCAGCAGATTAGGAAATTTTAAATAGCAATGAAACGTTCCTTTTTAAGGTGATTGTATGGATTTTACCCATAAAAATATATTCTCACGTTATCATTAAACACTATAAGTCCCTTTAAGTATCCCAAAATGGCTTATTTTCTTAGTTTGAGTAATTTCAAGAGATTTCTTTAGTGATTTCTTCTTTGACTCCTCAAGTCATGTAAAAATTTGTTATTTACTTTCTAAATATTGAAAGGATTCTTTTCAAATACTTAGTGAGTTCCAACTTAAGTCCTTTGTAATTACAGTACTTTATGGTTTCCAGTCCTTTTCAGTGTGTTTTGGGCCTGTGATATCTGAGTGAGTTTTCTTTGTGTACTTGACAACAGTGTTGTTGTATAATAATTGGTGGATATCAGTTAGCAGATGAGTTCAGGTCATTTGATTTTCAAATCATAATGGTTTTTCTCTCTTCTTCCATGTACTGAGAGAGCTGTGCTGAAATCTCAAACCATAATTTTGGATCTCTTTTTCTTTTCAGTTCTGCCACTTTTTTATTTCATTTATTTAGAAAGTTTAGTATTGGGTGCATTTATACTTACAGAATTGTTACATATTCCTAATGATTTGATCACTCTTCCTGTGAATGTTCTTTTCTAGCCCTGTTATTTCCTAATACTTATACAACTATAGCCTTTTGATTGTTTACATTTGGCTTTTAACCTGAGTCAATGGTACGTTCTCCTCTGCAGCCCCTGGAGCTGAGAATTGAACCCACAAATTGAACTAAATCCCTAATACTTATGTGTTCTTTTATGTTTTATATGTATGTCTTATTTTCAGTTGTCTTCTGTCTCTGGGTATAAGCATGTGAGTGAGTGTAGGTACCACAGTCGCTGGAGGAGTTGGATCCCCTGGAGGCTGGGCTTACAGGCAGTTATAAACCAACTTCAGTCCTCTGAAAGAGCAGCACTGCCCTTAGCCACTGAGCAGTGCTCCAGCTTCCACAGCCTTTTAAATAGCACTACAACTGGGTTTTTGCTTTTTCCTCCAAATTAAGTCTCTGCTGTTGAAATATTTGAGCCAGTTTTAAAGTGATTGCCTATGAAATCTGTGCTGGTACTTTCTTGTTCTCTGTTTGCTTTTTCCTCTTTTTTAAAAAATATTTTACAATCATATTCATGGTGCTAATTTGCTGTACTTTGATTATGGTATTTAAAGTTTTAGTTTAAATTTTGAGTTTATCATTGATTACTTGCAAGTAGCAAATATCCCAACATGGAATGGAGTTTCTGGAAATTCCTATTATTGTGTCTTTGTATTCACTAATCCATAGTATACAATCTGCTTTTTTTGGGAGGGGGACGATGTTTTTGTGTTTTGGTTTGGTTTGGTTTTGATTTTGGTTTTGGTTTGGTTTTTCAAAGCAGGATTTTCTCTGTGTAACCTTGGCAGTCCTAGAACTCACTCTGTAGACCAGGCTGGCCTTGAACTCAGAGTTCCGCCTGCCTCTGCTGGGATTAAAAGGCTTGCGCCACCACCACCTGGAGTATCTAATCATATATAGTGAAGATTTCACTTTAGATATTGAATGTCATTTTTATCTCTAGATATTGTTTGGCTCATTTTTTTAATTGTTCTATTATGTTAATGTTTTAAATCTTTGCACATATTTAATAGCTGTTTAATGTCTGTGCTTGCTAGTTCATCATTTGTATAAAATATGGTTCTGTTTCTGTTCATATTTTTCTCCCAGTTATGTATCATATTTTCTTTCTGAATCCCTGTGCAAAACACAGGGTTTCTTCACCCTGCCTGGTAGCTAATGGTCATAGGTCGCCCTGTGTGAGATCTAACGTGTTGACACTGCAGCACTGCTCATTGTTCTTTTCCTCAGGGTCATTTACATCTCAGCAAGGCCAATAGCTGTTTCCAAGCTCCACTCTTACACTGTATTCTATAAGTTGTCCCCTGCACAAGCTAGAACAGGAAGGACACCTCACCCTCTTTGTGTACCATCTTCTAGGAATCACTCTACTATTTCTTGATCAGGTGTCAAGGGGAAAGGTGTCGTTATTCTGTTGCTTCATTGTGTGTGATGGGAAAGTTTAAGTCTAGACCCTATTACTCTATGGCCAGAAGCAGAATTTCCATAAAGTTCTATGAAATGGCTGCCATACAATGACTTCAGATATGTAAGTGAAGAGAAAGGAGTCACTAAGGTAGAGCCACACAGAAAAATCAGATTAAAGGTCAGCACCTGAGGAGCTTCCTGTGTCTCCTTGCTAAGCTCTGTAAGTGTATCAAAAAACTCCACAGAAGACAGACAGAAACATGATCAGAAGCTGGGAAAATTTGCCATAAAAGTACAGATCTTGAGAGGCTGTGCTAAGGACTCCAGGAAAAGAAGAAAACCTCAGAAGTAGGGATAGGAGTGCAACCACATGGGTAGCGTTCTCATTACTCTCTCACATGTCTATACATTTTTCTCTGATGTTATTTTACCACAGGTATCTATCTTGTTTCTGTATTTTCCCCATTTCTGTTCACTCTTGAATACCCATGGAATTCTTCTAATCCTAGGTGCTTCTTGTCCTATGAAACTTTCCTCATTGATGTTAAATTTGTATAACCTTTGAACATGTGGCCTTTTTGTGTTTCATTTCTAGCATGTAGACATGGCTTTGCATCATCTTGTAAAATGTCATCTCCCAATTTTATTCTCTGTGACCTCAATAACTCCTCATAACTTACATATCATAATTCCTGGAGCATTTTGCAGGGCTCCCTGTGTAATCTGTACTTTATAAAATACTTTCAGATTTGAGCAAATACTTGTCAGGAGGCAGCTGAACAAGGTTTGCTGTAGTAGAAAGCAACTCCCGTCTCTGTTTGCCAACTATCTGTATTTGTCTATGTAGTGCTAATCTAAAAATGAGAAGGGCCAACTGGTAGGTATGCGTGTCTTGGGTCTGTGTCACCTCTCCGTAGCTTGTTTTCCAGCTGTAGACTGACTTACCCTGCCCATTCTACACAGTAGTAAGTCCACTTCCCTACTTGATACTTGGGTTGTTCTTTACTTCTGTTAACAAGAATGGTTTTGGCCTTTATTATATTTTAACTTGTTCCATAGTAAGCACCCTTTCATGCACAGTCCTCCCACAAAGAAGTTATTGCCTCTTCCTTGCTATCACAAAAGCAAATCTCAGTTATATGCCTTCTGTTTTATAACTGTAAATACATAGTGCCCTTTAAGGTACTTTTTATTTTGTTTTGTTGAGACAGGGTCTCATATAGACTAGGTTGGTAGGCTGCCCTTAAACTCATGATCTTGCCTATGCCTCCCAAATGCTGGAGTTATAGATAGACACTCCCACACCTAACTTTTTGAAGTACCTTTTAAAGGTACTACCTTCACATGTACACTAAATATAAGTATGCCTTTATTTAAGTGATGTATGCCTAAATATTTACAAATGAACAAATTTGCTTTAAAATCATCTAGTAGAGTGTTAGAGTGGCTCAGAGGTTTGTACATTTTCTGTAATGAGCCAAGTAGTAAATTTTTGGCTTTGTACGCTGCACAGTCCCTGTGGTGGTTCCTTAAGACACCAATGTGTTCTTTTTTAAACTATATTCAGAAAACTAGCTCTGGGCTGCACTTTGCTGAACTTGTCAGGTAGGGTGCAGTAAGGTTGGCTAAGGGTTGTTAAGTGTTTGAGGTGGGTGACTGGCACAGGGGAATGCATTATAGCATGTGTTTGAAAAGCCCTACATGAAGAGCTGACATGAGTTTCTGGTGAATTAATATGAAGAAAAAAATTATCATTTGTGTGTCATGTTCACTAATAAAGATCTCTCATCTCTTTCTTTGTGGGCCAGCTTCACTGCAGTCTTCACTTCAGCACAATGAAGAAAAAAACACCAAAATCAAACAGCTGCTTGTGAAAACCAAAAAGGAACTGGCAGATGCAAAGCAAGCAGTATGTTCATTTCTCAATACCATGTTTTTGTGTTTACTCATTTATCAGTCTCTTTATTGTTTACTTTAACCATGGTTCTCATTCTCTAGGAAACAGATCACCTACTACTACAGGCATCTTTAAAGGGTGAGCTGGAAGCAAGCCAGCAGCAAGTAGAAGTCTATAAAGTAAGATTTTAAATTTTTTGTAAAGCTTTTTCCATGTAGAAATAAGTTACTATTTAGATGGGCTAGAGAGCTGTCTCAGCAAGAAGAGCACTGGCTAATCTTGTAGGGGACCCAGGTTCAATTCCCAGCACCCACATGGTGGCTCATGACCATCCGTAAACCACCCCACCATCACTGTACACCCTCATTACCCCAGTTTCAGGAAATCTGAGACCTTGTGGTGACCTCTGTGGCACTAGCCACACATGTGGTACATAGACATACACACAACATCCATACACCTAAAAACTAATAGTAGTTTTTTTATTTTGTTTTTGTGTTTGTCTTTTTAAAGAAAGAAAAATTACCTTTTAGAAGTGTTTCTATCAAGTAAGGAGTTACCCTTTTAGGGGTACGTAGGAAGATTGCTTAGCTCTTTGCAGAAACAGAAGCAGTAAAGTCTAGTAATGCTAATGACCACCACGCATTTGCAGGTCTAATAGTCTAGAATAGTGCAAATAAAATAAACATGGCCCAAAACTTTATATCTCTCCTCTGACTGAAAATACAGTTGCAAGAAGCAATATATGAGCTGGTTTTATATTTGCTGTATTTTTATGTATAATGTCCAATGAGATTTAATTAAACATTAAATATTTAGTCTTATATTGTGCAAATACTGGCATAAGAAAAAATCAGCCTAATAGTAAGAAAATGTTCTACTCATACCAGAAAGTAATCCACTCTAAGTTATGTCATTTAATTTGTCTCTCCCCAGATTCAGCTGGCTGAGATAACTTCTGAGAAACACAAAATCCATGAGCATCTGAAGACTTCTGCAGAACAGCACCAGCGCACACTGAGTGCATACCAGCAAAGGGTGGCGGCACTGCAGGAAGAGAGCCGCACTGCCAAGGTGTGTCCTTCAGGACTGAAACCCCTGGGGTTTTATTACTCCAGGGCCATGTTCCCCTTAGCTGTTTGGCAGTTAAGAGCACTTGGCAGATGCACACCCAGTTGAGTTCATCTGTTCAAACCCAATTGCATGGCCACTCTAACATTATTGGAATAGTATTTCTTTATATGTTTGTTTATTTATGTCTGTGTGAGTTGTGTGGAGGTCAGAGGCCAGTTTTCAGGAGCTGGTTTCTGCTGCTGCACTGTGTGCTCTGGCCAGCTGGCCCCATGCAGTTTTCCTGTCTCTGCTTCCTGACTGGCCCCGGGAGCATAGGGATGGTAAATGCATACTTTCTGATCTGGCTTGTGTTTTTTTAAACATGGGGTTTCAGGGCTCAAACCCAGGTTTTTCAGGCTTGCACAGCTAGTACTTCTAGCCATTGAGCCATCTCCCCGGCTCTCGACAGCATTTTTCTATAAAAGGAAAAACATGAGTATAATGTCTAGCAATTTGTGTTTGTAAAAATGTCACATTTATTAAAAAAAAATTTTGGGGGTGGAAATCACTGCAGTTTTTCTGAGGTTTAAATAATTGTGACATTCTTTTTTGTTTGGTTTGGTTTGGTTTAGTGTTTTTTCCCAGACAGGGTTTCTCTGTGTAGCCTTAGCTGTTCGGGACTTACTTTGTAGACCAGGCTGGCCTCAAACTCAAATCCTTTATCCACCTGTCTCTGCCTCTAATCCCCCTGAGCGCTGGGATTAAAGGCATGTGCCACCATGCCTGGCTTAATAGTGACATCCTGATAGAATGCCCATTGGACCTGCTTCCCTGGCTTCAACATACAAAGCATTTAGTTACTTTAACAGCTTTGTTAGAAGTATCTCTCTTATCCAGGTGTTTGTGACAGTGGGGGAGTCTATAGATCACTTCAGAAATGCACAATTTAGCTTTTATCACTGTGTATTGAAAATGAAGTTTAAGTGAATTATGTCTTTGAGAATCAGTCTTCTTTGTTTATAAGAAAAGAAAATATAATAGGTTAAAATAATCTGTAAGGCTGGAGAGATGGCTCAGAGGTTAAGAACACTGGCTGCTCTTCCAAAGGTCCTGAGTTCAATTCCCAGCAATGGCTCACAGCCATTTACACAGGGGTCTGATGCCCTCTTTTGGCATATAGGTGTACATATTACATTCGTCTACATAAAATAAAGAAATAAATATTTAAAAATAAATAAATAAAATAATCTGTAAAATAATAGAAGCAAACAGTGTCATTATAAAGGTTATGAGTAGTGAGTCTACTGTGGTGGAAAGTCAAGAACCCATGAAGTCAAGGGTTTTAAAAGAGGTCAGGCCAACAGGACTGGGTTTCAGTTTCTGTTAAGTCTGCTGTTTTGGGGTTTGGCATGTTGTTAGTTTTATGAGACAGGGACTCACTCTGTATCCCATACTGACATGATCTGTAACTCATAGTATAGCCCAGGCTGGCCTCAAACTCTTAGCAATCTTCCCACTTCTGCCTCTTGCCTACTGAGATTGCAGGGAAGAGCTGCCATACCCAGCCCCAGGATTCACTTTTTAGGAGCATAAATAATGAGCTAGTGTCTTCATTTTCACAGATTTTTTTTTCTTTAATTCAATAGCCTCTGAAAGGACATAGGAGATTCATGTCACAGTAACAATTTTCTCTCTTTTTTAAATGTTATAGGCAGAGCAAGCTGCTGTCACCTCTGAATTTGAGAGCTACAAAGTCCGAGTTCATAATGTTCTAAAACAACAGAAAAATAAATCTGTGTCTCAGGCTGAAAATGAAGGAGCTAAACAAGAAAGGTAAAGTCTAAGATTTTACCCATACAAATACAAATTCTTCTAAAAGTTGGTTAAAAGTCCCATTTTGATTAAATTTTAGGTACAATTACAGTGAGGTAAGAATTTATTGGTGTCACAATATTTCTAGACATTTATGGAAGTAAACACCAAGGGTGCTATTGCAAGGGTGCTATGTTAAGGCCAGAGTGTGGTCTCTAAGCTATAATAGAGACTTAGTAAGATCTGGACCTGGTAGAAATTTAGGCATTAAAATTAAATTTACATTATAGTATTTATAACTGCCTCCATTTGATTTGAATAGTATATTAATGGTAATTTAAAATTTCCATCCAGATCCATTTTGTAAATTGCTCAAAAATATACCAGGAACAAGAGTGAGATGGATGTGGTGGCACAGTCCATTTAATTCCAGTACATAGGAGGCAGAGCAGGTGGATCTCAGAGAGTTTGAGGCCAGCCTGGTCTACCGAGCAAGTTCCAGGACAGCCTACAGAGCTTTCCAGAGCTACACAGAAAGACTCTGTCTCAGAAAGCGATGGGAGAAGGGGAGGGGATTCAGAAATCTTGTGGCATGTACATTTTGATTGTGTAATAGAGGTCAGTTGTTTAGTTTTATACCTGCTTTTAGAGTTCTGAACAGGACTAATGGTGCTCTGATGTTGGCATGCTTATGTTTCTGCTTCTGTTATTTTCTTTGTTTAGGAACCTCTTAAGCATGGGACTATAATCTTTTGTGTGATATTTTCTCTATCCATAGCTATCATAAAGTATTGACCACTTAGTAAATATCTTAGTAATAGTCATCATTTGTTAAGAACTATTCTGAGCATACCTGAATCTTGAGTTCAAACTACTTGAACATAATGTTTTAAGTTCCTTCCAGTGTTTTATACTTTTTAAACCTATTTCTGTGATTTTTTTTTTTTTAGTAGAGCTTCTTATGAGTGGGAATTGTCACCTTAGAGAAGGTGTCCATTTCTTATACATCTTCTAAGGAACTAATAATGTGTACATTATGGAAGAATTGTGGGTTTTAATTATTTCAACCAAGATTTTATTGTAATTCTAAACAGATTCCTCACTTTTCTTCAGGTATTGCCTTTCACTGAATTTTAACCTCGCACACGATTCTTATAACAGCTACCTTAGAACTGAGTTGTTTCTAACTAATGATAATCCTGTAACTTATAACATAGCCTAGTCTTGATACCACATAATGTCCTATTCCATTTTAGTATGAAATTTTAAACTCAGACAAACCCAAAATCCATTGTTTTTTAACAATTTTAACAGTGCTCAGGAATCCAAGACAGGATTTAAAGCCAGTTTGTGGTCTGTAGCAAGTATAGGCCAACAGCAAGACTCTCAAAAAACTAATTAATTAATTAAATGACTAAACTCAATAGACATTTTTATAAATCTGTAGTGCCTTATACTTACAATTTCATTTTAACATCTTGTTTAAATTATTTTAATTCTTGTGACTCTATTTCCTTTAGAACCATCCACAGTAACAAAAAGTATGACACTGAAGAAACAAACATTTGATGCCACAAAATGGGTTTACCCCCTTCATAAATGTTGTTAAACTATTTCTGTTTTAGGGAACACCTGGAAATGCTGATTGACCAACTGAAAATCAAGTTACAGGACAGCCAAAATAGCTTACAAATCAGTGTGTCAGAGTTCCAGGCACTACAGTCTGAGCATGATACTCTGCTGGAGAGGCACAACCGGATGCTGCAGGAAACCGTGACCAAAGAGGCAGAACTTCGGGAAAAGTAAGGCTGCCAGCAGCAGCAAATGCCATTGATACCAGGCAAGCAGCCTGGCTTTACTTTGTGCTCCTCCCTGGAATTGCAATGAGGAGTAGGACCTTACAGAGGCTTGGTAGCTTTCCCTTACCTACCATCCTGTTACCTTTAAGACAGTCTTTATCTTTACCATTTTTAGAACAACTGACATTTATGTACTGCTGATAACCTACCTCCTTTATAGCATTTATAATCAGGAAAGCATTAAAGTAACTATTTACTAATTAGGCCAACCAATTAAAGTCTGTGTAATTTACAGAGCCCAACTTATATGAACCCCCAAGTCACAACTGGAAAGCATCTATCAGGACAGGTATTCCAATTCCATGTGAGGAGCTTGCTAGCAGCTAGCTTACTGGTAAATCTAGAAGTGTTATTGGTAACACCTGAAGGCTACCAAAAAGTACTCTTTGTGTTTGTATGATGCTGGAGATTGAACTGTTAATTGAAAGAAGGAAAATCCCAATCATTCTGTTTTACCAATAAAGACTCAGGAGCCAGATGTTGGGGTGAAAACCTGCTAGCTCAGAGAGGCAAAGAAAGTAACCAGCTAACCTTCCTTCTCAGCTCAGGTCTGGATGGAAAAAATCGAAAAGGCTCACTAGCTCAAAGGACAGCCCAGGAGCAAAAAGCCAAAACAACCCAAGGCCAAAGGCTTGCTAGCTTAAAGCCCAAAGAGCCAGGGAGTTGAGGAGCTGAAGCCTCAGCTAAAGCAAGAGCTTGATCTAATAGCCCTTTTCTTCTTCTCCCTGTTGTCCTAAATACCCCTGAACTCAAAGTCTCTCCTACTCTTCAATCCCTGTCATCTGGTTTCTTGCTCTTGACCCAGGGTTAACTTTATTAAACCCTGTGTACAGAAAGCTCTTGGATCAAAGGTGTGTGCTAGGGCTGGGTGAACCACACCATACTCACCGGCTTATAATAAACAGAAAGTTCTTGGATTAAAGGTGTGTGATAGGGCTCAGCCATCTCAAACAAGAATTAGAGATTTATGGTCCACAATTTTGGGATTCACTGTGGGATCAAATATACTGCAACATTGAACACAGGCAAGTGCTACACTACTTGTATCCCCAGTGCTCAGAAAATTGTTATAACAGCAAATGGTTCCTCCTTTATATTATTGTAACTATTACAAACAAAATGCTTGAAAAACAGTATGTACAGTATCTGATTAGTCACTATGAACTTGATAATTAAGTATGTTTTTCTAAAGCCAAGCAGGATGGCATACACTTGTAATCTCAGCACTCAAGTTCAAGACCATGGCTACATAACAAGGTTAAGTCCATCATGAGGTATAGTAAGACCCTGTCTTAAAAACAAAAATAGTGATTTTTTTTTTTTGTATCACCGTTACTTCTTTAGCCACTAAATCTGTTTTAACATAATATGGTGTATATATTTATGACAGATAGAAGAAAATATCTTACTAATTACTCTCAGTAGGTGAGACTGGCAGGCATGAGAGTCAGGAGAGGGCAGCTTTCACTCTTTTTCTAATTGCTTCTAATTTTCATGAGCAAATATTCCTGGAAATTTTATTAATGTTTTCTGGTTGAAGTTTGCTAAAAACTAAACGTGACATGACAAAAATACAAATAAACTGTTAAAAAGAAATTGTTGCTCAGGCTGCTGAGATGGCTCAACAGTTAGACAAGCCTGGTGACATGAATTCGGTGCCTTGAACCCATGTAAACGTGGAAGGAGAGAATGGACTACAGAATTGTTTTGTGACTACCATATGTGTGCCCATAATATACCCATCATTTACTAACACACAATAATAATACAAAGAATAAATTTAAATTAATAAAAGTAGTTGCTCCCAAATTGTAGGTCTGCTAACTGATGTCAGCCTGACTGTGTCAAACTCAAGTGGAGAACTGCTGAGAGGCTAATTCCCAGGACTACTGCTGAAGAGTCAAGAAACTGTAGTAGGAAAGCTAGGTGTTAGTGTTTTACAAGGTAATCCAGCAAATCTGATGTAAGAGTTACAAGCAGCTATAATATACCGGATCTTTGTGCTTAAGTGTTTCATTGAATTCAGTGCTAATTCACTCAAAAATTGATATTTTTCTTAAGACTTTCTTTATGAAAAGTATTCTTTTTCACATGTTCAAGGTAATATGAAACAGGTAGATTAATCTTATGTGAGCTGCCCACATAAAGTGACAAGAAATAGTAGAATAATTGTGTGTGTGTTTAAGTGTATAACAGGCTTCTCCTTTATCCCAGGCTATTCTTATCTATTCATTATGTAAATGAGGGTGACCTTGAATTTCTGATCCTTTTACCTCCACCTCCCTTGTGCTGAGATTATAAGCTTATACCAATGTACCCAGTTTATATGGTGCTGGGGAATGAACCCAGAGAATCCAGATGGCAAGGCTGCTTCAGCATGTGCCGTTCAAGGCTCTCATATGAACTAAGCTCCTTTTCACCTTCAGGTTGTGTTCAGTTCAATCTGAGAACACCTTGATGAAGTCTGAACATGCCCAGACAGTGTGTCAGCTAACATCCCAGAATGAAGTACTCCGGAACAGCTTCCGAGACCAGGTTCGACATTTGCAGGATGAGCACAGAAAGACAGTGGAGACTCTGCAGCACCAGCTCTCTAAGGTGGAAGCTCAGCTCTTCCAGCTCAAGAGTGAGCCATCCACAAGAAGTATGTATATCTTTATGAGAAGATTGGCTTTTCCTGTTCTGGCATATTTGTATCACTTAAGAACATCACAAATTCAGGAGAAAGTAAAACGTTGGGTGGATTAATGGTTAACAGCACTGGCTGCTCTTCCAGACGACTTGGGTTTGATCACATGTGATTCATGTCCATCTCTAATTCCAGTCCCAAGGAAATGCAGTGCCCTCTCCTGGCCTCTCACAGCACTGCCTACACACTGGACACAAATACATGTGCGAAACACCCAGAGACCCAAGATAAAAATAATAATTAAAAATATGTAAAAGTTAAAAGAAAAATTTACTGAGTAACAACCTGTGTCAGTTCTGTGATTAATGAATTATGGATTTGCTTATTGGAAATAAATCTGAATGACTCCCTCTTGGTTACACTTAACAGCAGTCTATGCAAGTTCTTAAACTACTAATCCTCGTAACTGTGTAACCCTCTGTATAATGTATATTTATTTTTGTTTGGCTTACACATATTTCTAACAGTCTCATGGCATGAGTTCTAATTCTAGCATCTATCACTTGGTACCGAGTGTTTGCCCTCAAATGCACATGTTCTTGGTTGCAAGCTTTAGGGCAGAGCAAGGGACTTATAAACTGTACTTGTTGAATCTTGCACCAGTGTGGCTTCTTCTTCAGATTTTAGTGAGGTGGAATTGTCTGTCATTCAGCTTCAGATTCAGTCTTTTATTCTATTTCCAGAAAGAGACAAGAGAACGTCAGTTATGACGGTGATGTTCCAGTCCTATGTTTGTGGTGATTTGTTATGGAAAATGTTGTCATTGCAGCATGGCAGGTGTGGATCAAGGTCAAAAGCTAACTTTAGGAGAATTTAATTTACACTAGCCATGGACAGTGGCACATGCCTTTAATCCCAACACTGAGGGAGGCAGAGGCAAGCAGATCACTGAGAGTTCGAGGCCAGCCTTGTCTACAAAGCAAGTCCAGGACACAGAGAAACCCTGTCTCAAAACAAACAAACAAACAAACAAACAAAAAGGATCAGTCAAAGAAAAATGGGTTGCACAAAGAGGCTGTAATGTAGGAATCAGGCAGTGTAAGAAGCAGTTGGTAAAAATATCAGAAACCCAGGGAAATGCTCCAGAAAGGCAGCCAAGGGCTAACAGCTTTAAAAAGACTGGGGAAAGAGTTCATAGTATTGAAAAACAAATGAACTCTAATACTTAAAAAAAATCTGGGTTAAGCTATGAGAGCTTGCATAGAGTTAATTCCTCATCAGTCAAGTAATTCGTTTGGTCTTACGAGCTTTATGTATCTATGTAAGTGTTCATTAAAAGCAAGCAAGAAACCCTTTCTTTTTTTTTTTTTTTGAGACAAAAATCATGCTGTATAGCCTTGGCTGGCCTGGAACTCATTTTCTAAACCAAATGTTAGGATTAAAGGTATGTGCCCAAGAATTCTGTGAGCTGTAATTGATTGGTTCCATACCCTGGACTCTGGGCTCTGTAATCTGAACACTGGAGAGGTAAGCAGGCAATACTAAGTACCAACAAAGATGACAATGTAAGGGCAGCCATGAAGACCAACACATTGCAGCATGTGAAAAGTAGGGAGTGTTATGTAAAACAAGCATTATCCAGCTGTTCAGCAGGCAGCAATTTATATAGTTTCTGTTGGATGATTAGCATTGCTCAGTGGAGAGTGACTAAATATTTGTAACTGCTTTGCATCCTTTCTTTAGACATTTGTTTACCTGCTATTTAATTTCCTTATCATTTAACACTCTCAACACTGTCTTTAATTTCATTGACTATCTTCATTAGCTTCAAATCCGTTGCTTTTTTTTTTTTTTTTTTTTTTAACAATTTCACTTATCCTTTAAAATATTTAATAGGCCCTGCTTCTTCCCACCAACTTTTGAAAAACCCCCGAGAAAGAAGACACACAGACCTCCCCCTTCTGGACATGCACTCGGTGGCCCGAGAGGAGGGAGAAGGGATGGAGACAACTGACAGCGAGTCTGTGTCTTCGCCTGGCACACATGTTCAGTCTTTAGAGCAGCTCCTTAGTTCTTCTGACACCAAGCCTGGTAGGTTGCTTTGAACAAATTGTTTTGTTTTTACTTAATCTGGCTATCTTGTTCAGTAAGCACTACTCTGATTTTTATGTTTTTTCAGCTGTTTCAGTAAAAGGTCTTATAGTATGAAACAGATTTCTTTAAAAACTAAAGTCATAGCCAGGCGGTAGTAGCACATGCCTTTAATCCTACCACCTGGAAGGCAGAGGCAGGTGTATCTCAGTGAGTTCAAGACCAGCCTGGTCTACAAAGTGAGTTCTAGGACAGCCAAGGCTACACAGAGAAACCCTGTCTCGAAAATTTTAAAAACCTAATAAATGTTAACACAAGCATGGCCTGAGCCAGAAGTGGCTGATGAAAGTCCTTTAATATTATTAGAAAATAAATGAACTGCTCCCTTCCCCTCCAAGAAACTAATAGTTTCAGTTTTTCTTACAATGAAGTATTGGCAAATTAGCTGTGATAAAAAATAGTATAGTTTTCGGTATGCTTTTTGCTCTTACCTGTAATGAATATGACTGTTCATAATTCAAGAGGATTTTTGTCTTTCTAGCCCTAGGACCACAATTATATTCACCATCGTGTTATCATGTAGATACTGTGGCAAAACCCTTGAGAAAGATAACTTAAGAAGAAAGATTAAGCCGGGCCTGGTGGCACATGCCTGTAATCCCAGAACTCTGGGAGGCAGAGGCAGGCGTATGTCTGTGAATTAGAAGTCAGCCTGGTCTACAAAGCAAGTCCAGAACAGCCAAGGCTACACAGAGAAACCCTGTATCAAAAACAACAGGAAAAAAAAAAAGGGGAGAAGAAAGAAAGAAAGATTAGTCTTAGCTTACCGTTTCAGCCCGTGGTCACTTGGCCCTAGCATTTGGCAGTGGCAAGACAAAATATCACGGTGAGCACCTTATGGCAGCAAAGAAGTGGACAGGAATGAGCCAGGGTTCCAGCATCCCCTCAAAGGTACACCTCCCGTGACCTGTTTTCATTCTTCTAGACCCTACCTCCCAGTACTACTTCTCATTGGGAACCCAGTGCTCCCTAGCATAAACTGTAAAGCCTGTACTCAAACTAGTTGTACTACAATAGAAATTCAGTCTTACCTGTGCTGCTTTCAACTAGAAAGTTTTGAGCTGAGGTATATCCTATAGATGTAACAAAGGGTGGACTTAACCTGTTACAAAATAAGACATTTGATTTTCTTATTTAGAGTCTGTGATCTCTGATTTTGAAAATTAATTTTTAGAACAGCATCTTACAGAACCCACTTTATGGCATACTGAATTTACCAAAGAAGAATTGGCTGAGAAGCTCAGTTCCACCGCTAAGAGTGCAGATCACTTAAATGGCCTGCTTCGGGAGACAGAGGCCACCAATGCCATTCTCATGGAGCAAATTAAGGTGCGGATGATGGAACCTGGCTCCCCTGAAATGCTCTGTCACAGTTGCTTTTCTAACCCTTTGTGTACATAAGCCCCATTTTTTTAAAATTTTATTTTATTTTCTTAATTACACTTTATTTACTTTGTATCCCCCCCATAAACCCCTCCCTCCTCCCCTCCCTCTTCCCCTCCGACTCCCATCCTCCCCTCCCCCTTCTTCACGCATGCCCCTCCCCTAGTCCACTGATAGGGGAGGTCCTCCTCTCCTTCCTTCTGATCTTAGTCTATCAGATCACTTCAGGAGTGGCTGCATTGTCATCTTCTGTGGCCTGGTAAGGCTGCTCCCCCCTCAGGGGGAAGTGATCAAAGAGCAGGCCAATCAGATTTTGTCAGAGCATAAGCCCCATTTTACAAGTTCTCGAAGTCATTGTTCCTGATACACTTAAACGTGAGTGTATGACCTTGAATATTAAGGACAGTGGAGCACCAGTAATTCAAGGTATTCCCTCTCCTTCTCCCTTTCTTCTTCCAGCTTTTCTTTTGTTCTCCTTCCCCTTCCTTCTTTGCCTGTCTCCCCTTTTCTCTCCCTCTCCAGTTCTCTCTCTCTCTCTCTCTACCTGTCTTTCTTCCTCTCCTGTTTCTTGGGACAACCCTGGGCAGGCCTTCAATTTGTTATGTAGCCGAGGATTTCCATTAATATCTGATCATCTTGCCTCTACCTCCTAAATGCTAGAACTGGGACTACAGCTAGCTAAGAGTGCTCAAATGAGATGTTTTCTCCCTCTAAGGATAATGATTCAGCACTCAGGAGGCAGATCTCTGTGACTTCAAAGCCCTCCTGCTCTACAGAGCTAGTTTCAGGACAGCCAGGACTTCACAGGGAAATACTATCTCAACCCTCCTTTCCCCCAAAAAAAAGCCTTCATAATGACTAGAGAACCTTAAAAAGACAAAAAAAAAAAAAAAAAAAAAAAACCTAACACCAGGCCACACATAGAGGTACACACATACATCCCACCACTTGGGGTATTAGAGCAGGCAGAGGCGATAGCTGATTTTTAAGGCCAGCCTGGTCTACATAACAAATTCCAGAGTTCCAGGTTAGCTGCAGTTATGTAATGAGACCCAGTCCCAAAAGATAAATAAATGAATGAATAAGTATAGGGGAGATACCAGAAGCAGGCAGGAGGTAGCAGCCTATAAAAATGATACAGCTAAATTGAAACTTGTAGCTACCTGGCAGCAAGTACATGCTTCTGCTTCCACTTCTGTTTTATATATGCTGCCTCTATGTAGAGCTGTAATTGTCAGGTTGGTTTATACTGAATTGTATTTATGATGCCATCTAAATACTTTAACATATATCTCTGTAAGTTTTCAAAGCACTGTCACGTCTAACAACACTGACTAGTAAACCAAGAAGCATATTCAAATACTACTTCTACAGATCATATATGCATGTATTGCACTTATGTGATCTCTTAGACTTGTGTCACTTTATTAAGTGATCCTGGATCTTAGGGAATAAGCCAACTTTTCTAAACCACAGAAGTAATAGGTGTACTTACAACTTGAATTATCCTCGGACATCTTAAGTGTAGGGGCTGAAAAGATGGCCCAGTGGTTAAGAGTGTGGGCTAATCTTGGAGTGGCATTTCCTAGCACCTGTTAGCTCCTATTACAGGGCATCTGATACTTCCAACCTAAGTGAGTTCCTAAGTGAGTACTCAGGAACCCTAATATCCCCTACACACACAAATAGAAAAATTGAGGTGGATGTTTGTTTATTTGTTTTGTTTTTCTGTTTGTGTGTTTGTTTGTTTGTTTTTAACTTTGTACTACTTTTCAAATTACCTTCCTCCATTTTCTCGTGGTGTTGTATAATGTCTAGTGTTCCTTGATGCTCCTGAACTGAGCTTGTTTTGGTAAAGTACTGTTCACTCTGGACATCCTGATAGCCTGGGTCTACAGACAGGGCAGAGGAAGGGGTCAGGGGAGGCTGCAGATGTTTACCTCCCCACCTGCTCCCAGACCACCCCTGCTCACCCATGTCCCCAGAATAGAAGGAGGAGGTGTATTTGTGGCACCAGCTTATGGTTCTAGTTGATCATTTAGTCACTCCCCAGTTCTCAGCATTTCTGTGATGCCTGTGCTTCTTGGGCAGGAACATCTCTGTATTCCCATTGCATGCATCTGCTCTTCTCCGTTGTAGTATTTGGAAAACTGTCAGATTAAAGCAGTTCAAGGTTCCTCTGTTTACTCTCTTCTTGGAGTTAGTTAATAGGTCTCACTCTTTTCTCTCCTCTCAGCTCCACTTTTATGGGGTAGGGGATTGCTTAGGGAGATGAAAATGTGTGTGTTCAGTTTACTGTGTTCAGCAGACAGCCCCATACCCTCTAATAACTAACCTCTAATGGCAGCTTCTCAAAAGTGAGATAAGAAGACTGGAAAGAAACCAAGAGCGTGAGAAGTCTGTGGCCAACCTGGAGTACTTAAAGAATGTCTTGCTGCGGTTCATTTTCCTGAAGCCTGGTAGCGAAAGAGAGAGGCTTCTTCCTGTGATTGACACAATGCTGCAGCTCAGCCCTGAAGAGAAGGGAAAGCTTGCCACAGTTGCTCAAGGTATGTGGTGGAAAACCCTGCTGTCTGGTTTGGGCTGACTGGTGGTGGCGGGTAAGGATTGGTGTGTGTAACCATTTTCTGGTTAAAGTCTGTTCCTGGACTGCACATAACTAGCTTCCTTTTTAACATTTGGAGCAGGTGCACTACATCAGTGAGTTCAAGACTCAGCAAAATATGGTATAATGCTCAGTTTGACCTTTGGTTTCTGAAAATTGAATCTATATCCTGGTATTAAGTTGGAGATGTTTTGTTTAGCATGTGTTCACATGTTTTCTTCCTCCCTCACTTCCCCTTAATCTACTCCCACTCCCTGACAAAAGTCCCTGACAGTGGTCTGTGATCCACTTCTTGATCTCTGCCTACCTACCAGTCCACTTTTCAGGTGCATGCAACACAGTTAACACTGTTTCCATAAACTCCTTTGAAATGCTTGTGTTTCATAGACCTGACTTCTTTTAATTGGTCTAGAATGTTTTCATTCTCAAGCAGAGGAAATATAGTAATGTCCCTGTAGCTATAGTCAATCTCTTGAATTTTGAACTCGTGGCCAGTTTTTCTGGCAGAAGTAGGAGAGATTTGTAAACTCTACCTACCATGTGCTGACTCCTTCGAGCCCTCCTCAGCTCTTGTTTACTGCCACTGTGTCATCACAAATCAGTCTCCACTGTATTTTGTTACTGTTCTCCTTCAAGCTTGGTTTTGTTGCAGTTTTTCAGGCTTAGTTGAAAGAAGGGTTGTGAGGGTTTAGATGTTTGGATTTATTTGTGTGTTTTGATCCCTTCCTAGTTACAATAAGTCATGTTTTTTAGCTTAATACCATTTATGAATTGAAGAAGCTGATCATTTGTGGCATAGCAGTCCAGAATTTTGAATTTGGTGTTTACAGGAGCATTGTACTTATTCAAATACTGCACATACAGAGGAAGTCAGTTTTCTGATTACATCCAGGGGCATCTGATCAATGTGAGCACCAACAATACCTCACAAGCATACTGTGAACTTACTATAGCATTGCAATACTACCATGCCCAGAATATATAGCTACCAGCTTGTGACTGATGTTCTCATCTTGATGCTCTTTAATATGTCCTTCTATCCCCGTTCTTCCTAAATAAACTAATAAATTAAGGCTGTCCCTTGAAATTCAGTCACTTGATATACTTAGTAACGCTTACCTGATGGACCTCACCCAAGATATTATATTTTTAGCAAGCTGATGCTTGTGGTTTGGGGCTGTGCCTCGAGATCTTGCTTTAGAGGACTGATTAGATTCAGGGTTAATGTTTGGCAGGATTACTTACTTCATAATGAATATTGGTAGTTCCTTTGGATCTGTTTTCATGCAACCTGTCTTCCTAGTGAAAAATGTTTACTCTTATTTCTGTTTGCTGTAGTGCAGATTCCCATAGCAACTGTTAACGATAGCCAAATGAACCCAGCCATCCTACTTTAGACCTATTCAAAAGTCCGAGGCAGGAGGATATCAAAAGCTCCAGTTTACTCTGGGCTGCAATGTTGGCTTACTTTTTAAATACTCTTTTATTTACATTTTTTTCACATTTCTTTACTCCACTCCAGTCTCTTCCAACACCCCAACACCAGGTAGGAGAGAGAAAGGGTTAGTGGGAGAGGAGACCCAGTTCTCTTAGCTGCTTCCTGCTGGTTAGAGTTGTTGGGTTTCTTGGAGGCAGTCCAATCCTCGTTTCAGAAGATCTCCAACTTCTTGTATTCGTGCACTGACAACAACAGGAGCCAAAAGGGGGAAGCAGCAGCAACTTTGTTCTTTCTTGGAGGTCTGTACTCTCTGGGCCGTGGTATTTATTCTCTCTCCAGAGTCCTCTGATTTAAACTATCTACAAAGAGCTCCTCTAAGAGCCGCATGAAGCAAAGAAATAGTCTGCTGCTGTAAACTATCTGAATCAGTCCCACATCCTACATCTGAGATTAAAATAAAAATATGTTTATATCCATAACACAGCAGAGTAAATACCAGACCACAAGGGCTATAGCCAGACCCTATCTCAAGCATTAACAAAAAAACTCAATATAAGAACATACCATTTGTTTATGTATATAAATATGTGTTTGTTTGTTTGTTTGTTTGTTGTGTGTATCTGTACTATATGTTCTGTGCATACTTGCCATGGCACACATGCAGAGGACAGTTTATGAAAGTTGGTTCTGTATTTCCATTATGTGGATTCCTGGTATCCAACTCAGATCATAGGCTTGGCAGCAGGTACCTTTATTTACTGAGCCATATTGCTAGCTGTATATATAGTAGTTTTGGCTGTCCTGGACTTGCTGTGTAGACCAGGCTGACCCCAAACTCACAGCAATCCACCTTCCTCTGCATCCCAAGTGCTGGGATTATAGGCATGTGCTACCACTTCTGGCTCATATCATATAAATTTTTAATAAATGATTACCTTTAATTACTTTTATGTGCTATTTTAATTTATTCTCTCAAACTAAACCTACTTTATAAAATCTTGGGGAGGGGGGTTGTTGTTTTTGTTTTGTTTTGAGGCAGGGTTTCTCTGTAACCCTGACTGTCCTGGAACTCATTCTTTAGACCAGGCTGGCCTCAAACTCAGAGATTTGCCTGCCTCTGTCTCCCAGGTTCTGGGATTAAAGTCATGAACCATATTGCTATAAAATTTATCAACATTTCAGGAATGTGATTTTTTTCTACTCAAATGAAGCTTTTAGTAAAATAATAATATATTCTCAATTATCCAGTATGCTTAATATAAAATATTAGCTCAGTATCTAACTTTCAAGTGTAGAATTCCTTGATTTGTAGGGATCCCTGCAAGCCGCACTGCTGGCAGAGAAAGAAACCATGAGAGACAAGAAAGAAACTCAGTTCAGTTTGACTTAGCTGGTGTTGGTTCAGACTTCTGGAGTCTGACACCAGGCATTTTATTTTAGATGTATAGTACAATTTTGGAAAAAAATATTCCTGGTAAAAATTACCTTAATCTCATATGTACAATAAAACTCACAGTGTGACTATATCAATATGGTTTTGCAAAGTGCAACACTCTTTTGCCCTCTACATTGATTAACAAATTTAAAAGACACTAACCTTAGAAGTTTTAGAGTTTTTGATAATTTCACAAGAATATAAATGGAAGTTCTCAGAACCTAGAATTCTAAGTCCTGTGAATGAACAGGAAAATACCACTTCTTAAAGTTCCTGTTATAATTTCATATTTTAATTATTGTATTAGTACTTTCTATACTAATTGTGTCAGTTGCTATGATAAAATACATACCATAACCAAAAGCAAAAAGAAAAGGTCTCTTGTGGGGAACTGTCAATCACAGCATGGAAGACAGGCAACAGGAGCACGAGGCTAGCCTGGCAGTTTGGAAGCAGAAGGACAGAGCAAGAAGTGGGCAGGGCTGTAAAATTTTCAAGCCTGCTGCCAGCAATGTGCTTCCTCCAGCAAGACTTCTTAAAGGTTCCATACCCTCCCCAAAGAGAGCCACTACCTGGAAACCAAGTGCCCAAACAGATATTTGCAGGCCACACAAAGCATGGAAAGTGCAAAGGACAGCTCTCCTCCTCCTCCTCCTCCTCCTCCTCCTCCTCCTCCTCCTCCTCCTCCTCCTCCCCCTCCTCCTCCTCCCCCTCCTCCTCCTCCTCCTCCTCCTCCCCCTCCTCCCTCAAACGACAACTTTTGGGCGTCAGTTCTCTTTCTCTATATCAGCTAGGAATTGAACTCAGGTTATCAGACTTGTAGATTAAGCTCTTTAACCCACTGAATTATCTCACCAGCCATAAATGTAAATCTTAAAGTTTAATTCATTTTAAAGAGTTTTCTGAGTCTCTTAAAATTATTTGCTGCTTCTTCAACTGACAAAGGAAGTGAGAACCTACAAAATTAAAAACTGTGATGGGTTAATGACAGACACGATTGACAGAATGAATCAACCAGAACACAACAAGTAGCAAGGAATTGTTAGAATTGAGCATCAAGAAATAGATTAAGCCGGGCATATTGGTGCACACCTTTTTTTTTTTTTTTTTTTAGATTTTCATGACATTTTATTTTTTTCTTTACTCTTTTTTTTTCACATTTTTATTATTATTATTATTATTATTATTATTATTATTATTATTATTTAAACTTTATTCATTTTGTATCCCCCCCAGCCCCTCCCTCCTCCCCTCCCAACCCCACCCTTCCTTCCTTTCTGCATGCATGCCCCTCCCTAAGTCCACTGATAGGGGAGGTCCTCCTCTCCTTCCTTCTGATCTTAGTCTATCAGATCACATCAGGAATGGCTGCATTGTCTTCTTCTGTGGCCTGGTAAGGCTGTTCCCCCCTCAGGGGGAGGTGATCAAAGAGCAAGATTGGTGCACACCTTTAATCCCAGCACTTGGGAGGCAGAGACAGGCCGATCTCTGTGAGTGTGAGGTCAGCCAGATGTACAAAGTGAGTCTACAACAGCCAGGACTTTGTTACACAGAGAAATCCTGTCAGGAAAAAACAATCAAACAAAAATAGATGAAAGACCCAAAAAAGTCGGGGGAAGAAAGCACTGGACAGAAGTTTAGTCGAGGTCCTGTCCTTTTGTGTGAGTGTCCTTTCCCTCCATTTTAAGACAAGGTACTGAAGATGTGGCTCAGTAGAGTGTTTGCTTGGCATGCAAGAGGCCCTAAGTTCCATCCCCATCAATCCCTAAAATACGTGGTACATACCTCTAATCCCAGCACTTGGGAGGTAGTAAAAGAGGTACAGGAATTCAAGGTCACCCTCAGCTGGCCAGGAGAGCCAGGGCTATACCAAGAAAACCTGTCTCAAAAAATGAAGAAGAAGAGAAGGAGAAGAAAAAGGAGGAAGAGGAGAAGAAAGAGAAATCCAGAATAATTAATGTATCTTTTATAGTGCCTGTAATCAATGAAATAGATGTTATTTGCTTATATTGTATAGTAATTCCATATTTACACTTCACATTGATAAGATTTAATTTTTAATTTTTTTTTCCCAAAGGTGAAGAAGAAGGTGCTTCCCGTTCCTCTGGATGGGCATCCTATCTGCATAGTTGGTCTGGACTTCGATAGATTGATAGAAAGAACAGAATTGACTCAACAGAATTCATTTGGGGGAAAAAATGGTTATTATTATTTGATCAGGAAGTGTGCATATCTGTTCACGTCCTCTGGTGATTGTATATATGGTAGCAGATGTGTTTAGAATCTCAACTTGTAGTAAAAGGACAACAGCTTGAAGCAATGGTACCAATTGTCCACAGCCCTCTAACTCAGCACCACAGTCTCTGTGCTCTCCCATGCACAGAGGAAACAGTTCATTCCCGCACTCTACAACCCCAGGAGTCACTCATTACTGAGTAGTACTATGAATTTTGAAACTGAACTAAGTTTTGGTACCATACCAACTGGGGAATTTAAGCTTTCAAAATAACGTTTCAAGATTAAGGAAATGCTTTATTGGTAAGGTTTACATAATATTAAGGGATTATGAAGTAAATATGCTATGGTTAATTATGAGACTAAGTTAAATTGCAATTTAGTTAGTTGCTTTAAAATGCCCCCCTCCCCTCGTTTGTTATTTTCAAAATTCACTCTGGTACTGGTGATGTGATGCTGACTGAATAGGTGGATGCCCCCCCCCCCCACAGCTGTGTTTCCATGTGTCTCCAGGCTCTCAGTGTACTGCCACTGCTCATAAGCCATGAGTCTCTTTTGAGAATTCCCTGACTCTCAGAACAGTGACTGTCTTACCTAACATTAAGTCCACACGTGAGCCTGCTGCTTCCAGTGTTGTTCAGGTAGTCTGGTTCCTAACCCTGACCCCCAGAGGGCCCTGGCTCACTCTTGGTGAGTAAGCCTGGCTGGGGCTGGGGGAGAGGGATTACTTGCCTTTATATCTCTGGAAATACTCTTTTGGCTAGATTAAAATTGTGCTCTTAAGTCAAATTTGGGAATTATATGTTAATATGTAATTTGTTAATAAATAACCACATAGTGATGTCTGGAATTGTTAAGCTTATGGTTTATTCTCCAGTTTTCAGTCTCAGCTGGAAACCTGACTCTCTATTTCAGTCACTATGAATATTGGCTTCCAACCTGGTTTGACTGACATTTGCTGCTGACACGTTGAGTTTGTTCTCTTAAAGCTCTCCATCTCACAGTGCTCGCTCCACCTGTTAGAACAGACCTAACTAAGTGAGTGTGCTGGTTAAAGTGCATCGATTCCAGAGCTGACTCCAGAAATTGAGTGTTTAACTTCATAAGCTGTGAATGAGTATGCCCAGTGGCATCCAATGTAATTTTAGTAATATTTAAATAAACTCCATGATTTCTTTGCACCTACTATGCCTTTTGAAATCTGTATAAACCTGTTTTGAAATCTAGTCTGTTCATATGATTATATAAAAATACCTTTGCATGGTAAAAATTACTTTGATTACAAAAGACATATATGCTTTTTGTGACCAGCAATAAGGAACTATAACAAATGATATTTCTATTAAATGCATTTAACTGTATATTATATTTTTATGACTGTTGTTTTTCTGTTAAACTTTCTCTTTGGGATTTCAAATTACATGGTGAGATGTCTGCTGTCCCTCCATGGCTGGGACCTGTTGGTACTGAAAATGTGTTACAGACTGAGCTACTCAGGAGGCCAGGGCAGAAAAATTGCCTTCAGCTCAAGAATTTGAGGCCAATCTAGTGAGACCACCAACCCCAAGCCTCTTAAGAGAATACAGATAGCAAGGCATGGGAGCATAAACCTTTAATCCTAGGAGGCTGAAGTAGGTGGATCTCTATAAATTGGAAGCCAGACTGGTCTGCATAGGGAATTCCAGTCCAGCCAAGGGCTACATGGTGAGACACTGTTGAAAGAAAAAAACCAAAAGACACACACACACACACACACCAACCAGATCTGAAGAGAACATGGGTGCTTTTCTTTGGGCAATGTAGACATGGATATAGCCTCAAGAAGACCTTGGAGGAAAGGCTTTGCTCACTTCATGCAAATCCCTTTGGACTGGGCTATAGGGAGAAGCAGAGTACAAAGAAACACAAGGACCAACTGAACCCAGGCAGGGAGTTAGTGTGGCCTTTAGGCCAGTAGTTAGTGGGTATAAGGCATTCAGCCAGTTCAGTTCAATGCTCACCTGCATTGTGCCCATAACAACTTGTTTTGAGACTTACAACGTACCCAGAACTGGTGCTGAAATCTCATTTGAGACTAGGCACATGCTATGACAGATTCTGGACTTGATCCAGCTAGTATTGAAATACCTTTCATTGTGACCATGCATGCATATATTTCCTTTTGTGTTTTGTTCTTACCCTGGTCCTCTGCTGTTCTCCCCATCCCATCTTACTGATCTTACAGACCATCATGTCTTCTGTCATGTCCCTCAGTTTTTTTTATTCTTGTTGTTTGGTTGGTTGGTTTTGATTTTTCAAGACAAGGTTTCTCTGTCTGTCCTGGAACTCAGTTTGTAGACCAGGCTGGCCTGGAACTCCTCCCTCTGAGAGATACATTTCTCTCTGCCTTCCGAGTGTGAGGATTAAAGTCACACGCCTGGTTTCGAAGCAGTTTTTAAATTTGCATCCCTCTACTGGCCAAGGACATTGAAATTTTTTTAAAATATTTATTGGCCATTTGTACTACTTTATTTGAAAATAGATTTTCTTTCATACAGTATCTCTTCTAACTCCTCAGCTCCTCTCAACTTCCCAATCCACCCAAGTCCACACCCATTCTATTTCTCATTAGAAAACAAAAGGCATATAACAGCAACAACTAGAATAGGGCAAAGCAAACTGCTTTCGAGGACTCAAGTTTATTTCACTGGCCCATTTAATGATTAGATGATTTTTTTCCTGATGTTGAATTTTGGCAGTTCTTTATGCATTTTAAATATTAATGTTTCTGATGGATGATTCTTTTTCCCATTCTGTATCTGTTACTTCATTGTGATCATGTTTTTGGTCTTGCAGAAGTTTTTTTTTAATTTCATACAGCATATAAATTAATTTTTATGATTATTTCCTGTGAGGTTCTGTTCAGAAAATCCTTGCCCATGGCTGTATTTTGTATTATGGCAGCTATTTTTTTCTAGCAACTTCAAAGCTGACTTGTTGCAAACATTTTTATTTTATGCAGTTTTCTTACACACTCTGTAATGCACCTCTTTAATTTTTATTTCTTTTCCCAGGTCAAGATTCTAAGCTATATTTCCAATCTTTTTTTTTTTTTTTAATGCCTCCTTGTGACTAGTTTCACTTAGCATGTTTTCAGGGTTCATTCAGTTTATAGCAGCTGTCAGTACTTCATTCTTTTTCATTTTTCAGTGAATCCCATTGTATGAGTCACTACTTTTGTCCATTAGTTTACAGACATTTCAATGTGCCTAACTTTTGTCTGTCATGAAATTTGGAGCTACACAATTTTGCATAAAAGGTTTTTTATCTTTTCATCCCTCGTGGAGAAATATATAGGAGTCAATTTCTAGTTCCTTTAGTAACTGGCCAAACTATTTTCTACATGATAACTCCTCCTAACAAGGTATGAGGCTTCATCACAGCCATATTACTCTGATAGGAAAGATATTTAAGACTTCTATGGGACTCAGATTTGAGTAGTCAATGTGGTATTGGGAGTTAGTGCCAAAAGTAACTTGGGAAAGAAAAGATTTACTTGGCTTATACATCCTGATCACAGCCCATTATGAACTGAAGTTAGGAAAGGAACTAAAGCAGAAACCATGGAGAAACACTGCTTACTGGCTTGATCTCCATTGCTTGTTCAGATTTCCCTTTTTATGTGTGTGTGGGTATTTTGCTTGCATGTGTGCGCAATGTGTGTGCAATGCCAGCAGAAGCCAGAAGGTGACATCTGATCCCCTAGAACTAATGTTATGGATAGTTGTTAGTAGCCTATGGGTTCTAGGTTCTCTGGGAAAGCACCTCGTGTTCTTAACTCCCAAGCCAACTCTCCAGCCCCAGCCTACTTTCTTATGTAACTCAGAGCCAGCTGTCTAGAAGAGGCTGGGCACGAGATGGCACATACCTATAATCCCAGCACTCGTGAGGAGACAGAGGCAGAAAAATCTCTGTGAGTTCAAGTCCAACCTGGTCTACGAACTGAGTCCAGGACAGCCAAAAAGGTACACAGTGAAACCCTGTCTTGAAAATAAAGAAAATCTTGGGAGGAACAAAAGAAAGAGGCCTATTTGTTTCTAAGAGTTGTGAGACGAAGTGTGAACCTTCCCAGTATCCAGTACAGTAAAAAGCAAACAGGCCTTCATGGCGCTCCTAAGTTATTGGTTGAATTTCATTGCCTAGGAGCTCAATGCCTATACTCATGGAATAAGCTTTTAAAGAAAGGAAGTATGTTCCCCCTGGAGAGATAGCTCCTGGTTAAGAGCTAGCCCCAAAGGTGTGAGCCCCAGAAAACTGGTCACCACCTCTTGTCTGCTGTGAGGGCATGGAGGTGATGCCCTCCTCACCCCTCACCACCTGTCGTAGCTGGGAGACCTGGTCCCACTGTAGTAAGAACAGGAAAGTTATACCTGCCCCTCACTGGCTGAAATGCTTGGGAGAGCAAACCCTGTACCTCACCTGGGCAACACAGTGGAACTGGCCCCGATGGTGAAGGCACAGGTAAGCCAGTCCCAAGACTGTGAGAGTTGGAGATCTGGCCCAGTCCCTCACTGGCTGCAGCACTTGGAAGAGTGGTCCCCACAACTTGACACAGTGGAGCTGGCTGTGGAGACGTGAGAGCAGAACTGACACTGCTTCCTCCCGATGGTAATGTTGGGTGGCCAAGCAGGAGCAGTGCTGGAGAGCTCGCCTTGGTGGTGCACATAAGGGAGAGCTATCAGACTGACCAGTTCAGCTGCCTGTCATGTCTAGGTCCAGGCCTTTGAGTTCACCCACCTCAAAATCTACATTATCTGTGAACTGTTCAGGTGCATGAAAGGGCCGGCCCTGCCAATTCAAAGCTGCAGGATTCCCATGACATGGTAACAACAGGATAACCAGGAGTCCTGATGAGGATCTAAAATTGATGGTGTCACAGAAGCCAGAGACCTCAAATCAGACCAGTGATTTATTGTAATGAGCATTTACAAGCAAAGATGTGTGGACACAGGGGTATACCGTGGGACACGCTGTGACACACTGCAGTTTCCATGTTTTTTGTGTGTGTTTATTGGTTGGTGTTTTCTGTTTTGGGTGGGGGTTTCAAGGGTGTAGGGAGGATACAAGAGGAGAGGGATATAAGTGGGACTGGGGTGTATGATGTGAAACTCACAAAGAATCAGTTAAAAATGAAAAACAAAACAAAAACCTCTGCTCTTGCAGAGGACCAAAATTCTGCTCCCAAATCCACATTGAGGCTCACAACTGTATATAGCTCCAGTTCCAAAGGATTCCATGCCATCCTCGAGCCTCACGAGCAGGCAAATACTTATATACACAAAATAAAAAGATCCACATTTAAAAGGGGGGTGGGGAGATGGCTTAGCACTTTTGAAAAGTATGCTTATTTATTTGTGTATTTTGAAGCCACATAAGCAGTGTTTGAGATCTTTCTGTAATTGCTTCCCACACTGGCAAAAGTGACACAAAATGTCTCTTGTCCAGAAGGTTATAATTTCTGTGCTTATGTTTATTGACTCTTTTTTGGTATCAAGAGAAGACAATGCTTGGTTTCTTATTTGCTTTATAAAATCTATTTTTCTAAGTAATGCTATGCTCACATACTTCTTGTGGGTTTTTGTTGTCGTTTCCTTTTCTTGTTTTGTTTTACCTGTTAAGGATAGAAACTGGGATCTGGTGCATGCTAAGCAAGTACTGTACCACTGAGCTGCACCCCTGCAGATATCTCACTGCTTCTCAACATGGTAACACGCTAGATACAGATGATGCTCTCCTTACAGAGCTTCTTTAAAGACTACTGTCCTTGCTTGCTCTTTTTCTTAGCCAAGTAGTTGTAAAAAGGTTGCATTCCCTTCAGAAGCCTTTTCATCTCACCCTGGTGTTTACTATTACCAGCTTTCCCAAGGAGATGAATCTATTAGCAAACTCTGGCTATCCTGACTTTAAAGTGTTATATTACTCAGTATTACCTTTTTATGGCTGCTTGTCTCAGTTTAAAATTTTTCCCTTTCAAAGCTATGTGATAAGGTGAAACAAAACAAAGATGAAGAACTGAAGTTCAACTGAGGGCTATATTTCAATGAAGTGGATTTCTTTTACTCTCATTTTTTTGAGATTTACTTATTTTTCTTTTATGAATATTTGTCTGCATGTATATATGTGCATGATGTGCATGCGGTGCCCAAAAGAGGGTATCAGACCTGATGGAACTCAAATTACAGGTGTTTGTGAGCAACCATGGGGGTGCTGGGAAACGAACCTAGGTCCTGTGCAAGAGCAGCTAGTGCTTTTCCCCTCCGAGCTATCTCATGAATGTGTGCATACATGTCACATATGTGTCAAGGTCAGAAAAGAACTTTTG